TAACTTTGGGAAAACAGCTATGCCGACTAATGAAATTCATGTTGGCTGGACAAAACCTTTGGATCCAAAACAAAATCTTAATTTTAATGCACTTTTTTTACTTTGCTTAGAATGTCACTTACGGGCCACTGTAGAAAGAAGACATTTCAAAATATAAATATATTTCTTCCCACAGAGAGAAAAGACGACTCCCCTATAAATGTACTAAGTTGTATGAAATAACTCCTATTGGAGCCCGAGAAAAAAACTTCAAAAGCCTCAATTTTCACAAAATGACAATCTTACGCTGACGATTTTACCTGCATGAGTGTGATTTCTCGATTCCTGTGAAAATTTGAAATTTATATTCTCGGGCTCTCGTAAGAAATTGTCTTTAGTGATATTACAGATAACTAATTATGTCCTCTATAGCTCTTGAAAAGTGTAAAAAAGAACGCGATATGGCTTAAAATATCCTGCTACAATTGGGTTTTTGTCCACTGAAAATTAAAATTACTCAATTTCCTAATGGATTCCGTCTTAATTAGTCATTTTGCTCTCTTCGGTAAAAGTAATAACTGAGGCGTATCAGAAACTCATAAGGGGTTGTTCAACCCCTTATGAGTTTCTGGGCGTATACAATATTATGTCTTAAAAATGTGGCCTTTTCAAAATTTTACAATTAATATGGTGTCTAAGGGCTAGTATGTAAACAGTACACACATGAACATGAATTTCTGCGACACTCGCTGATGTTATAGAAAACTCTAGCGGGTGTTAGGGCTTTCGTTTTTAGTTTAGAGCCAAAAGTTAACCCTTGCCGGGAGGTGCAGAGCTAGTCGTTCGGTTTTTCTTAATTTAGCTTGGGTTCAGGCTCACTTGTGCGAGTTTGGGGCTTTTGGCGGCAGAGCGCCGCCTGCGAGAGCCTGAAAAGCCGGCGAGGGAAGGAAAATCCTTCGCGCCGCCAAAATTTTCCTTCAACCCGCACGAGTAGTGAGCGCGCACGTAGGCTAGTTGATCTTTTTTGATCACTCCATTGCATGCCAGCGTTTAGTGTCTAAACTTTGACTTTATCCGTTTCGAGTGGCTTATTTTAACATCCTTTAAATATGATATATCCCGATCTCTCGTTTTCGAAGGCGAACCTTATTTGAGGACAGACAGGTGTCAAACGGTCCGTTTTCCGTTTTGTTAGCCGTTCACAGTCTTCCATTCAACAAATTTCTTTAGCTGTTTAGCCGTTCAAGTTCCCCCCAACGCGTTCGAACAGTCCATTTTTAACTTGCCCACCAGTTTCCTATTTGTTCTGTAGCCGTGAGTCGAGAGAGACTGATCACTGACTGATTATTTTTATTTTTAAAAAATAAAGATAATAGTGGGTACTTTCTAGTTGCGTAAACTCTTTTTATTAATACATTTCCTGGTAACACTCAATATATTACTCAAAAAACGTATTTGGTCAATCACAATTGGCATCATAAAAATAGGTTTGCGTTGTGAGAATTATAAGCTACCCTGTACCCCATAACCGTCTACACTTGAAAAATGTCCGTTGAAAAAACAAATCCCTGTACACGAAAATTATATCATCGAGGGGGGCAGATGTTGCAAGAACAGTTTTTAGCAAGCTAATTAGCACAATACGTGACCAAGGTTTAGTGCCCGCTCGAGTGGTGATGCTTAGCAACGGGGATTCAACTTGAGCGCAAAAGTTTTCAATCAGCTGTACCGGATTTTAAGGTCTTCAGGCTTTTCAGGAATTAGAATATGACTCAGTTTGAAGGTAGGCAAACTCTTCTCGAGACAAATTCCTTTTTGGTTATAGGCGACAGCATTACATAAAGCCCGTATATGTGGGACACCGTCAAACGGTCGTGGCCTTTGAAATTTTGAAAGCGTACGTTTTCAGGGGTTCTTGTAAATTTCTTCGTGTTTTTATTTAATCTAGAGCTGTCAACTATGTTCCAAATGATAGAAGTATAGGCAATTTTACTCTTTTTTACTCTTCATCGGAATCAAAGCAAACTGTTTACATTCAGTCGTACCAATGAATGGTTTCTCCTGACTTGTCAAGGTATGGTTTCACTTGTCAAAGTTTCAGTTTATTTGCGCAAAAAAAACCCCTAAAGTATCTATTTTCATGTGCAATTGAGCGAGTGGTTTCAACTGGGACTTAGGGTAGTTGATGGGAATTATAGTGAACTGTGTCATTATTGATTATTATGGCGTTTTACCCGGCTATCATGACAGATCCAAAAATTATAACTTCCGCAGTTTGCAATGTTACGACTTCCTTTCAAGGAAACAGTAACGGTTAGTGTCACTCATGTTTGCCTAATGTATCAAAATCATCGCTCGCTGCAAAAAAGAAACTCTTTTGGATTAGCATTGATTACAAACTTTAAGTTTGTATATGATAATATTACGCTATACCATATGTTTTTAAAGAAAAAAATGTCTATTTTCATAGAAATTTTCAAGGCCTGGCACGCGATTTCTCTTTATTTCTATACGTAGTCAGGCCAAGCGCAATTTGAAAAACTACAAAATGTTTGCTAAACCTTTCTTAATTCTTCCCCCTTTGACGTGCTGTCTAAGAATGTTTTCCGGTCTGACCATCAAGACGTGAATGCTAAAATACAATTCCCCTCTTTTGCTTTTTCTAAACAGGTTGGCCATTAAAGAGGCAAGAAAGATTAATAGAGGGAATTATAGCGTATTCAGCTAGCTAATAGCCTTAAAGATGACGACCTCGTTCCCTTCCACCCATACAAAGCAGTCTGTGACAAATTAACAAAGCACTTACTTGCTCGACTTCGTTGCATCCCAGAACAATGATGGCGCAGGCAAATTTTACCGAAGATGAAGACCAGAAAACGTTCAAGAAAATAGACTGTTTGGCGGAATTTTATACCAGAGGGATAAATGGCGAGCTTATCTTTCTTTCATCTGTAAATATTATTCTGTCCATTGCTGCATTTCTGGGGAACACTTTGATCCTAGTCGCCCTAAACAAGGAATCTTCACTTCACCTGCCGTCCAAACTCCTGTATCGTAACCTAGCGATAACTGATCTCTGTGTTGGTATCGTTGTGGGGCCTTTGGCTGTGATTTATTGGATTTCTGTGTTGACGGAAAGATGGGATATTTGCTTTTACGCAGATTCGGCAGTAGGCTTCGCGGGTTATGCTTTGTGTTCAGTGTCTTTATTCACATTAACTGCAATAAGCGTTGACAGACTTCTCGCCTTGTTGCTGGGGCTCAGATACAGACAAGTTGTAACTTATAAAAAAACATGTATAACTGCAATTTTCTTTTGGATTTTGTCCATCGGTGGATCTGCCTTTTTTTTTTTTCCAGTTATTATTTCATCATTTCAGTACTTAGTTACAGCTACATGTCTAATCACCACAATCTTATCTTACACAAAAATTTTCTTCTTTCTGCGGCATAACCAAATTAATGTGCACAAGCATGTTACTCCAGGACAATTAAACCAGTCACTGAACATGGTTCGATACAGAAAGGCGGTGAACAGTGCATTGTGGGTGTAGGTAACATTGGTAATTTGTTATCTGCCGTTTTGTATAGCAGTAGCTTTGACACCTCAAAAGGAATACGGTTTATCGGTTTACCTTGCTAGGCAATTTACGTCTACTTTAATTTTTTTAAACTCGTCGTTAAACCCGTTGCTGTACTGCTGGAAGATCAGAGAAGAAAGGCAAGCTGTAAGAGAAACATTAAGGCAACTCTTGTGTTTATAATTATTCGGAATTATCAACGTAGTTTACTATGTTTTGAGCTCCGTTACATAAATCGCGCCGGCGAAATCCCCGTTGTTACGTGTGAACAGAAGCCCAGTCCGGTATGGTTTTGGCGCCGGCGCAAAAGCCATCCGGTATAGTGTGAATATCGCCATGAAGCCTTGACAAACGTTTCGTGTAGGAAATGTTATTTGTATACGAAAGCGAGACTGCTCATGAGTGTTTGACAGAGGCCTTTATTCTAAATAAACAGAGAACGCATTCCATTTGTCAGAACTGGCCGGCCAGCCATTTCCGTCGAAATGAGAATTTCACTTTTCGTCAAAACTATCCAGCCAGATCAGTCAATTCCTAAATAATATGCATGGCCCGGCTGATGGGTCTATATAGCAATAACTCTTTAAAATAGCTGATTTCATTTACGAAATGAACGGTCCGACACTGAGGCTAAGTTCTGACTTTTGCAAAGCGCCCTGAATTTCGTATGATTATGCTTCATGGGTTGAACTACTCAATAGAAATATCTGAGGCCTGAATGTTCCATCTGTCGACAACAAAATTAAACCTCTCTCATCACGCTAAAATTGATAATTTTATTGTAAAGCTTAATCTATTCCACTAAATGGTAATAAAACTATGGTATTGCATAAATAAATTTAAAACTCTGAAAAAATTGTACATATGTTTTTGGGGAATTGATGCTAGTTTAAGGATATTATACAATTCTGTTCTTTACGTCATTTGTTAGAATTATTGTCCACGTATTAACTTTTAATTAACAACTCCAGATGGACAAAAAATACTGTACAATGATTTCGCGCCATGAAAGTCCACTGCTTTGCTGTATTTGTCCGCAACTTGGTCAATTTTCCGGAAAAATATTTGCATTTTACGCATGCGCACTGGACAGCTTTCAATATAAGTAGAATCCTGTTTTTTACTGGCCTTGATAAGACCCTTGATAAACCAACGGACCATTTTTCGAGTTCTAAAGTCCTTCGCCTTAAAGCAAGGCGTTAATAACTTGTTTCCAGAGAATTAAAAAGTCATTTTCACATCAAACTTAGCAACAACCCTTGTTTTGAAAACGAGGCTTAAGGCACCTCAGATATGGCCTAGTGCTGACACCTTCCCCTTACTTTGACCTCTATCATACTAGCCCCCGCCCATTCTGGTGCCTATAGCGAGGGGGTGGGATGTCAAGGTACGACACTTGTCACTGCACAATTTTAAAGGACTCCTAAACCGATCACTAGATTCAAAAGCTTAACTCCGTCGACTTCTGATTTTGTATTTTCATTCACTTTCCATGTTATATGCGATATGGTATAAACATTGCGTGTCAAACCAGAAGCATTGCAAGTGATGACAGCCCAGCTACAAGCACTTGGTATAACGCAAGGGAATATTACTTGTCCACTATCTGAAAATTCACGTACGGTACATTGAAAAAAGTGGTTAAAATATTCTTGTCATTGATTGCAAGTCCTTTTGCAAGCTGGATTTTACAGATCGACTCTTGATTTTGTTTTGTTATTCCTTTCCAATGTTTTCCTCTAACAGAATTCCATATTTTTATAGTCACACAAAGAACTGTGACTTTACAATAAATTGCTTTCAAATGGTAGCATAGTTAAGACGTCAGCCTTTGTAAGTGTGAAAGAGGGGAGAGACAAGGAAGGTAGAATGAGGCTTACGATAAGTCACAGCCTACTGCAGAGGGGAAAAAGTAGCAGAGGTGACAGAAAACACAAGAAATGGAAAATCAAAAATGATGTGAAAGCGAAAGAAGTAACAAGCACATGGGGTAAGAGAACCACAGAGGAGGAAGCCGCCAGCAGGTGGAGCAGAATTCTCATTCCAGCTCACTTTTCCTTCCCGTCTTATTTCCTTTAGTCTTGCTCACCTCTTGAGGTCCATTTTACATTGAGTAGACACGTGAAACTGAATCCCGGATTCATCCAAGTGTCACCTAACAGACCAGTTATCCAATTAAACATTTGGTAGGTGCACTCTTAGATTAAGAACTTTCAGAGCTTCATCAGGAGTTAATCTGTATACCCCAGCATCCTGCAAGGCAGCACGGGACGGAGGCACGTCTTCCTTTTCACAGATGGCATTGTCTGAAGACGACTTAAGCAAGTCTCTTAATAGCACAGCGGAGCCTGGTAGAAGATTTAACAAGATACAAGCTTCTTTGACCCTAAGGAAGAAAAAGAAAAAATTACACACCTGCAGTGAGTTATTTACACCGAAAAGCGACAAGTGAGTTAGTTAATACAAAAAGCTAATTGAATAGGTTGTTAAGCGAGAAATCCCTACTCTCCCTGTCGTATGGAGGAGTTTGGGTTCAGAACTACAGTATCAGACAAAAATAGTTGGGACACTTCCACCCAACACTGTTATTTTCACTTCTGGACCGTCTCCTCCTCCTCCCAATGTTGTTTATCGCAGTTAACTCACCACATTTTACACACCAACATTGGGAGGGCAAGAAGGCCTCAAAGTGTCCCAACAATTTTGACTGAGACTGTAACTCTGAAGCTTCAAAGACTCTAAAACCGAGTAGCTAGGATCAGAACTCTGTTCAGAACTTTAGCTCCAACTTAACTCGTCTAGCGAACGTTAACAGAAGGATCGTTTCTTAATTTGTCTACTTACTCTTTGAAGAAATTCTCTGGTTTTTGGGTGTATTCCAGAAACAATGTAAAGAGATTCTTTGTCAAGTCAAACTGTAACTGGGCTGCCCCTCCTTCATTAAAGTGACACTGCAGAATTATCTGTAAGGAAAACATAATTTTCAACTGCAAATAAGCATCATGAAAATAATAACATTCGCTTTTTGCTACTCCAAACCACCGATTCGGGTGAAAAGTTGAGAATTTCAATTGATTGTAGTCCTGCACGCCGAATCCGAGTGAAACAAAACAATTTCAACATGTGTCAGGTCAAAATGCTGCTAAGAACTGCAAGAATACATCCTGAATAACAAACAGTGAAGGACTTTCAAGAGGGATTTTGTTTTACATAAATCCTTCTGCAACACGGATTTCAAAAACAGATTCAGGAAAGAAATCTTCTTTTCTTTTACTTCTGCGTTTGATTTAAAGTACCCTAAGGTATGCTTAGGGCAGTTTTTGCATCCTCCCAGAGTACAACTCCAAACACATCTGCCTTCTGCATAGCTAAAGTTTGCCAAGTGATTGGACCGCAACAAGGTTTTCTACAGCCTCAATGTTTATTTCAGTCACTGGAGTGACGACGTCCAACACTGAAGTTTGCTAGTTATTAGGTATAGCAACAGTTCATATCTCTCACCTCCTCAAATATAAACTTGTTTAGTGCTTGTGCAAGTTGTTTCCATACCACACTGAAGATACTACTTGCCAGCTGTTCTCGGAGAATTTGAAACCTTCCCTTCACAAAAAGCAACATTTCACAAGCTGACGAGGATAGAGTTAATAGAAGCACATCCTTTGGATGAGGAAATATGTGCCACCTAAAATGAAACAAATGAATTATTACGTTAAAAGCTGATGAAGACATCCCCTCATTCTAAGATAGCGGAACAGACCACAGACATGTAAAATTATCACACTTCAGTGGAAGTAAAACTGGATCAATCTTTATATCCGTGCAAAGCTGCATTAAGGCGCAGAATTATTGTGAAAGACCTGCACGATTACTGTCCTACTTACATGAAAAACCTACATGGTTATTGAAAAAAGAAAAAAAGTGACAATGAATGTATTTAGCATGCAAGTACTGATTTGAGGGCACTGTTTATTAACATCTTCAATAGAAGCGACACCGCCATTTCTATGCGGTCATCTGCGCCACAGTTTATCATTAGCAGGACAAAAGTAGTACCTTCTTGCTGAATGAATGTTTGTTCAGCCCTGGGAATTGAACTCGCTGCCTACAAATCTGCAGACCTTTGATCGAACAAGTAAGATAACTCTACCGCAGCGAGGAAACACGCACTGCAACAATGTTTAGGGGTATCTGGTCACCTCGCAACCAGCATAATCGCCACCAAGAAGTCGACTCGCCACCAATCAACTCGCCACCAATGGTCAAACATTTAAGAAAAGTACGTGGGAATATACCTGATATAAACCCAAACCCACATTGGTTTATATCAGGCTTATCTCATTTATATTTAACAATTTTGTCAGTTTGTTGCACCGAAAAAAAGTTGATACAGGCCGACCAAGTTGTAACAGGATGTACATGTATGGGCAGATAAAATTCCTCAACTACTTATCATTGGATTAAATTGTACAATGCTACTCACTTTTCTTTCTTATATGGTTTGCTTAACATCCGGAACCCGTGCACAATATGATCAACGATAACTCTGATCATTTGTTCTTTTAAATCCTGCAGGGACTGCAACACACCATCAAATACACTTCCTGTCACTGGGGAATCCCCCTCTTCTTCTTCCTTTTCACATTTTTCTTCAACCTTAAAGGCTGCATTTAGAGTTTTCGCACACTTTGAAGAGTCCATGGATAGATTATGGTGCTGATTGAGTCTAAGAAATAGCTGAAAACATTAAAAATCATTAACATTTACTCAGTCTTAACAATAACTATAATTAAAAGATAGGAAGAAATCCAAGAACAGTGCTCAAAAAATAAACTATTAACTTGGACTTCAGGTGTCAATTATAGTCCTATCTTATTCATTTTTGGGTTGTTCAAACACATTCACAGTTAGAATATCAAAAAATTCATGTAACGGTTCTCAAAATTTGCCAAAAAAATTGCAAAATCTTCCTACTGGTAGTAAGGTGCTGTAGCTCAGGATTCAAATAAAAACTTTATAAAAATATTATAATTAAAGAAGTGTTTAAGTAATAATGCATTGACAACAAGATACCATTTGCTCGCTCCACTCCTGAAGTATAAGCTTGATGTAATCAGAAGCATTCAATACAGAGCAGTAATGTAAACCAGCTGGTGCGAAAGAGTTCTCCTCTGCTTCAAGACTCAATCTGGAGATAAAACTCTCCAAAAGAAAGAGCTGAACTTCTAAAAATCGCTCCTGGTGTGAAACACCAGGTAAATTTCTATACCGATCTAGTGAGAAGAGAAGGAAGAAAAAACAAAACAAAAGGGAAGAATAAGAATAATCTCATTCTCATGTTTATAGTCGATGATTGTTCCTCATTTGCACATTTTGAAGGAAGTACGTTAACGACACAGTGGGTCGGAGAAGGGGGGGGGGAAGGGGGGAGTATTCAACCCTTCTACTCCTGGGGTCAACAAGGAGAGGAAAATGTTGTTCTGGTATTTGAGTCTGTGGACGGAATCCCATGGTGTCGCCATTTAAATGGAACCTCTTAAGCATGGTTGCATGGTACTTGCATGGTACTGCATTGACTGGTACTGTTGACCTTGATGCATTTTACAAACTGAAGTCTAGGATTGTTCTCAAATCTTCATATTGGCCACTGGCCACTGTGTAGAAGGCTCAACAGACTTACAGTGGAGTCCTGCTTTTTTGTTTCTTATAAGGAAAGTTGTTGTTACAACCTATTTCTGTTGTCGTCTTCTCCCTCAAACAATTTTGATTGTGATGAAAAAGACTGACATCATCAATGCAATGTCCCCAGTCACATTACCTGTTATAACCGTCAGAAGAGTCATGAAGCTTTCAGCACATTCTGGTGTCCGTGTGTCATCTACATCCCCCACTTCTTTATATTTAGGTGTCCAAGCTGATGAAGAAGCTAATACTGATTCCATGTTTGATATAGCATCTGAAAGACATAAATAAAACTTACATTATTTTATGTAGGTTTCTCAAAAGGATTTGAAGTAGGCATCCACCCCTTAGTAGGCGGTTGTGACAAATGGAGAGGCTGTAGTAAACTAATGAGGGGATTGAGGCGTATTTCCAAAGAAAATTTTTAAATATGGAAGCTCCGAAAAGCATTTTCGAGGCCATTAAGGCCGCCATTATTATTGCAAACTGTGTAAGACTGGAATTGAGTAACTTGTTACCATGTTTAACTGTGAAGAGCTGGGCCAAAGTGAATGTCACATACCCGGATGTTTACGCGGTTGAAAACATGGAGGTTGACAAGTATGGAAGCACAAAAGAGTTTAATACTTGTTTGGTCTTGATTGATTATTTTGTAAAATATATGACAAGGAAAACTCAATATCAGAAGAAGGGAAAGGTAGAAGACTTGGTCACAATGCAAAGTACAATGTAAGTAGCTACAAATTCCAAAGTAGGCGGCGGTCAATCACTGGCTGCCGGTTTCTATTGCAAACCCTGTATTAATGGTGGAACCCCACTTTACGACCACCCCGTTTGTACAACAGCCTCACTAAATACTGCAACCATGCTCTTTTGATCCAAAAAAGTAAAACACTGACGGACCACCTTCATATTATTACAAAGAGGATTTTATGGCCCATTGGTTGTCGCATTAAGGAGTTTCCAAGGTATTGTGACAAGTGGTAGTCATTGTAAACAGGTTAACCTGTAATGTTAGCTTCAGTATTAATTTTAAGAAGGAAGTAGTGTTATAGGAAACAACATAAATTATTATCAAACTGCGTACATGAGGTTCAGCTTTTAAAGCTTGACATTCCAGCTATCTTTGGAATATTAGAACGGTATATAACAAAAAGGATTTACTTTTTATAATTCATACTTAAGAAACTAATTTATGTCATTTTTAATAATAAAGAAAATGGAAAGAATATAAATAAATTACTGTCGTGTTTAATAAGTTAATTAAAATCTGGCAAACCACTGCTGACAATTTAGCTCAGACAAAAGAAATACAGTGTACAGTCAAACTTCCATTTGTGACAACTCTCTATAAAGCGACCACCTGTACAAAACACCAAACTTTTCCCAGTCAAATCCCTATAATCAATCAGAACCTCTTGTAAACGACTGGTGGACCACCCCTTGTGAGGGACCACAACTACTTTTTGACCCTACAGTTTCATTATTTTTCATTGTTTTTAACCACTTGTAAACGACTACACCCTATAAAGTGACCAACTATCCAAAACAACAGAATTTTTCCCTTTAAATCCCTACAATCAAAAGCCATTTTAAATGACCAAGTCTTGTGAGTGACCATGACCACCACATTATTTCAGATGAGTAAAAAAGAAATCTCAGCCAATTCCCGACACTACCGCCAATTATTGTTAGTATCTACATGAACAGACCACTAAATACAAGTAGCTACTTACAGTTTCTTTCTAACTCTAGCCACCTTGCCAGACAAGAATCAGTAGTAAGCACATGTAAACAGCCATGTTCTGTTGAATGATAATTATGAGCCAAACCAAGTTCTTTGTTAAATAACAGTAGTTCATCAATAAAATGGGAAAATAAAATGTCATCATCTATTATTTGAGGAATGCTATGTTCCAATTTCTGCACAACAACTTTTAATAATCCAGCAATAAATTCAGTCTGAAAAAGAAAAAAAAGGTAAGTACTCAGTTAGTCTCCTTCGAACCTACTTGGGCCAGAGTCACACAATGATCCCTGGGGACTGAGCATTGTATGACTTGATCCTTTCTTTTTTTTATTAAGGAACAACTTTTAATGCAAAGTACACTAAAGTTGATATGAAGTTACACTAACAAAATGGCCACAAATTCACTCTCAAACAATGGTTTTCAAGAGATTTTTATCCAGATAAAAATACTGCTAAACTTGAAAACTAGATTAAAGTAGGCAAAACGTTACAAGCCAAAGCCACTTTTCAACAGTTTTAATGTACTAACTGGTCACAGTAACTTAATAAGCAATACTTAGTCACTTGGGAAGATTTCCACTTTATACCTACACTTCGTAAGATTATTGTCAGCGGCAGCAAATCTTTGTCATCCTTCCCCTTAAAATCCTTATTTTAATTAACTAAATTCTGTAGACATTTTGCTCCAGCCTCAAATGACAGTTTACACTAACCTGTGGATGCATTACGTATTATTTTTTGTTGTCATTTATTGTTTAGAAAATTTAAGGGAGTGTCAGTATAAAATGAATTCAAAATTTATCAACATCATTATGACAGATCAATAGGTAGTACCGGTACATGTATTTGAGTCACATGTGCACCTCTGTAAACCCCAACACAAATCCACAGGGTTGATGGATTATTAAACAGTAGAATTAACTTTTGACATTAACTCCCTCTCAGCTAATCAGTATTCATTAAATTTTGATACAGTTCTCTACTGGTTGTTTACATTAATTAATTTTACAAGTTAAGTACATGTACGATAAAATATTCACATCCAATTCTGATCTGTATGGGTTTTTACAATGGCCTGCTTGAGCTTTCACACTTGTCAACGTAAACGCATCTCCCACTCATATTTTATCAGTAAAGTACATACATGTACATGACGATTGTTTTTGTATAATTCCAACTATTTGATGCGAAGGCTTCTAAATAAATAAATAAATAAATGAATAAACAAATACATGAAAGAGTGAATAAAAAATAAGTTAAAAGTTAGACCAAGCTACATGTATTAACAACTTAAGCACAACCCACCTTTGCATCTATAGATCCAAATTCAGTCCTTTCAAGTATGGGTTGTATTGTGTGCTGAAGAAAATCACTGTGATTCTTGATCCAATTCAGGACTTGAGTAAAATACCATTCAGGCTAACAAGAAAACAAAATTACCCTTAAATTCCACAAATAAGCTCCTCCTTGCAGTCCTGGCCTCAATTGTTCAAAAGTTGAATAGCACTATCCATTTGATAAATCACTATCCAGAACTTAGGGTAACCAATGCACTATCCACTGGATAGAAATTTATCCAGTGGATAGCGTTATCCGCATTTTGAACAACTGGGGCCTAGCACCTCTTTTTCAAAAGTCCCGGTAATTTTTCATGCCTGGAAAGCTTATTTGTATATGATGTGTTTACATTCAAGATCAAAGTTTCAATAATTTTGAAAATAATACAGTTTATCAGTTAATATCAGCTTTATTGGAAAGCCAAATTGACTGGTTTGTTGGCTAGGAACTGTGCTACTATTCAGCAGTTTTTGATGTTAAAATTTGCTTCCAGGCCCAAAAAGTTTCTAGGTCTTTCAAGAAACAGGTTCAAAACTAATAATTATTTGGGAATTGTCTTCATATACAACTACACGTAAACTACATGTATACCATATGGGAACCTTATGAGACAATTCCAAACATGAATTTTGTTATTTATTTATTTATTTTGTTATGTTATTATTTCCTCCATTTATTTATATTACAAACCATTTATATTATATTACAGATTCAAACATATCATTCATAAGATTAGGTATCACTGAATTCAAACTTAGGTCCCACCCATAACTAGGTATTGCTTCCCTGCTAGAGGGGATAACTTGTTAACTTCTTGGGTACACTGTACCTTACAGTACAAACAATGTATGTTTGTTTGAAGTTGTTACAGTACTTCTTATAAATCACTTTAACATGGTTATTTTTTACTGTTGTTTATAAAAGTTTTCCTTTGCTTTCATGGGACATTGAAGAATATCACTTTTGTGAACTGAACTCCCTGATGACACATCATTATCATTATCATTATTATTATTATTATTATTAAAAAACACAAAATAAAGTTATCATTATTATTGTTATCATTATCATCATAATTTATCATTATCATTATTATTATTGTTGTGGTTGTAAGCGTAAAAATACTGTTACATACACCTGCTGGGTGGTTTTGAACAGAACACTGTGCAGTTGGACAAACCCTAGTTCATATGTAGATAATTATTAAACTGTTTTTATTTCAAGCTGTAAAAAAAAAATTGCGCAAGAGTTTACATGCATTCCTTGATTAAAATAAGGTCTGTAAACAATACATACCTTTTCAAGATTATTTGTTTGCTTATTTCCATAAAAATGAAAGGTGAACCTCTTTCTGAAGGGCTTAAGTAACCAGTCTAATGGGAGCAAAATTTCACTTTTATCCTCAGCAGTTTCAGACGATGTTTTGTTACTTAAGTTTCAGAAAGTAAAGTTAACAATTAAGGATAATCAACATTTGAGGATACATGTATGACTAACAGTAATATAACACAACTGATAAATATTGATATTGAAACTCATTGACTATTAAGAAGGTAACCTTAATTTTGCATCTACCAGTATCCAAGACTCACATCATAAGAGATCAATTGTGTCCCATCTACAAAGAGCAGAGCATTATTTTAGATACCATGATGTCCAACTTGTAAGGTGCAAATCCACTTGTAAACTGGCATTAACACTGTATTTGGACAACACAAACCAATCCGTACAAACAAGGATATATATACGCTGTCAAGCGTTAAAACGTTGTTACTTCAAGTGAATCACTCCAATATGATATATCGAGTGACTTCATACAACAAAAACACTCATCTTGTGATCTAAAAGGTGGGAAACAAGACAACAGGGAACCCAGCTGCAACACCCCAAATGCGTTGCTTGCAAATGGCCACAAAGGTGGATGTTCAAGTTCACACCCTGACCTAATTAAAGGTACCAAAACAACACCTTGGGGTCTACTAGACTTATATTGATCACTGTGGGTCCTGCATTTGGACTCTCAATTAATATCTCTTCAGTAGAATCTTTTCATCAACAAGGCATCAACTATGACCTCAGATCTCATAACACCCTGAGGTCCCCACTGGTACATCTAAAAGAATATAATGAATGGATGTATTGAATGCTTCAATATAAGAAAAAAAAGGGAGACAAAAAGAAAATAATTTATAATAAAATGTGTGTGCATGTTATTATCTCTATTAACTTGTCATATATAGTATAATTACCAACTACATAGTATATGATTGTAATTGTGAATTATTTGGAAAATGTTGATGTTCCTGCTGGTATAAGACTCCAAATCAAAATATTGTCTTGTCTCATTTTGTCTTGTCAGTACCCCTCCCCCAAGCCCCCACCAGAAAGGAAGGAGACATGCATGGTATATGATAACATATAACAGCTGTGGCAAGCTTTACATAGGTGCAACATATAGGGCACTGAGAAATAGACTGGGCAAACACCAGAAACAAACAACATCTGCCATCTATGAACACCAGTCCAAGACCCACCAGGGCACCATTAAGAGGCAGGGGCCAGGGATTTGCCCCAGCTACTAAGAATGTACCCCTTGGCTTTTTTCATAGGAAAATCAATTAGCTGTTTGATTCCCTGCCTACTTGTTGTATTTACCAGGCAATTGAAAACTTAGTGACAGCCCTGCTCACCATGGGAGTGGCCGGGGGTGGGGGGTGGGGATTCAAAACCTTTGGCCTGGATACCATGGGAAAGTCAAGAAGGCATCCACATGAGATGCCCATTGCCCAACCTTAAACAAAGATAAATTAGGGCAATGAACTGTCCAAAATTTTTTAATCACTTGGTGTTATGTGATGAAAGAAAATAATTTCCATCACATGACTACTTTAAAGACAGTCAGTTGGCTGCAGATGGTGTGAAAAATTCAAAGTTTAATTTGCACTAAGAAACCTTGCTGAAGGATTTTTTCATTCGATTCTAATTTTACCAGATGATCATGCTCAACCTACCTATGAAACGACTCCTGGGTTCAAACCTTTCATTATTGTATACTAAGCAGCTTATGCATGTAAATACACTGTTAATTCCTCTTAAACATCATTTAGGCCTAAACCTTTATAATGTATGAAGGCAGTATTTGACAGAACATTATAAAAACAAAACCGTTTAATAAATAACAGTAACAATAATAATGAAAATAATGCCTTCAACCATAAACCATATTTTAACCATAACTGTTTTTGCAGAAGAAAATTTACATGACTCCCAAACTGTCCTCAATGTACAAAGTATTCTGTACTTGTAAAACCTGTCCTTCACTATTCAAAACAACAAAATCAACAGAATAAACTTATTCTTTTGAGTATCTGAATATAAGGATACAATTCTTGCAGTTTAAGCAGGAGGACAAATACATTTTCAAGTCTGCTGTAGTCATCAGATGTTGTGGACAAAGGAGGTGCATTCGAAACTGAAGTGAAAGGCCACTTTAAAACCTTCATGACATCATCAAATTCACTACCATGGGAGAATAAAAGTTCATTACAAAAATTTACTTTATTCCTGTTACCCAGTAGTTGTCATTGTGGCCTACATACATGTATAAGCTCCCTTAAGAGGAAACGCTAAGGAAAAATATAAAAATGTTAGTAATTGGAGCTTCTTTCTCACAGGGATGATCATTGTACTGAGCCACTTAATTGTCAAAAGAGCAATCATGTACAACAGGAGATGGGAGACGTGAGCAGAAGCTTATGCATCCTCACAATATTATTATAATATTACTTATTAATTAATTGTAATAATTTCTTTTTCTATTAATTTTTTTTATCTCTTGTCCAGCTTGGAGAAAGTTTTGAAACTCTCACCAGCAACAGTTCCACAAAATTCTGAAATTAAAGGGAACCAAGGTTTATGGTGTGCCAGTTAGAGTTATTACTTATGGATTACAAAACTCTCCTTAATGGCTGATTTTCACTAGGAAGGAGTCAGAGTCGGAGTCGGAGTCACAATCGAAGTGTACAACTTTATGACTTAGTGAAAACAGCGTTCTGATTCTGCTTATGACTGGTGTCATTTACAATCAAGTGAAAACTACCTAGGTTGTTAGAGTCACAAGCAGAAGAAGAAGAACTAATAAAACCATTCTGACTCAGATAATCTGGTTTTCATGATCACTAGATCATAAGCGGAACGAAGTGACGAAGTCATAAGCGGAGTCAGAAGAGTCATTCTGTCACGCTTTACTCTGCTTACAACTCCAATTTTGATATTTACAAGGTCAAAAGTGCCCTTACCACTCTGCTTACGACGATTCCGACTCCGACTCTGTCGCTGGTGAAAACCACCCTTACAAAGACAAAAAGGGGAGCGATGGCCCCATCCATGCTTATGAAATAACTCTATTCATCACTTATGTAACATGAGAATGGAAAAGTTAATTCCAGACGCTGATTTACCTTGCTAACTTATTGAGGAGAATCTTCTGCCAATGTAGATGCATCTCCTTCACAAACTTGGTCAAGTTACAACATCTTGAGTCACTGAGAAGTTTAGCTAATTCAGACAGCACTGTCAACTGTTCTACAGCCCAGTTTAATTGACCACTTTCTACAAACTGTTGAAGCTGAAAACTGAAAACAAAGTCATGAATACATCAACTCATTCACAAAATCAACAGTTCAGGAAAGGGGTTTACACTTGGAGGGGCCATGCATGCACCCTCTACTGCTATATATGTGGACTTGATAATAATTATCAAATACACTATTTTTCAACATTAAGAAATGCTCATGCTCATCAAAAATACCCATTGTGCAGGATGCAAAGAAAGTCAGTTTTACAGCTTGTCATTCGGGCAAGTTGCAGTTGGCATGTACTAGCCCATTAGAGTCATTTTGATGAACAGGATTGATTACAGTTTTTCTGTACATGTATGTGAATTTTATTTGCCCGTCGGGCAACTTAAGAACAGAATTCACTAACTTGATAGCAAAATCTACTAGTCCCGGGCTATCGGACATGATTTTCTCTACACGCTGATTGCAATGCTGATATTTTCACCATCAGAGTGATATCAACTACATGTAGTCTTCACTGAGCTTTTTTTATGGGGAATAGGTTGACAAGGAAAAAGTGTACAAGGGGCTATGTCAGATGGAGAGCATGCGCGCTGAGGTTATGCAAATAACTTTCAACTGTCAAAATTCTATTGTTTTTAACGCGTGACTTTCTCTATCACATCCAAGGCTCCCAAATTTACAGAGACGTTTACAAGCGAATTGCGTTTGGATAAGGGATATTTTGATAAAATTTACAGAACGTTTCTTCTCTGGTTATGCTAGATTAAGTTTTCTCAATTTCTTTGTCACGAATAAAAGTGTTAAGATAATTTTACTTGTAGTTTTGAAGTAAAAATGTATCCAATTCATAAAAATAGAGTGCAAACAAAAATTCAACAACAACACATTGTTGTAGTGAACTAAATAAATCAAAGTTTTATTTTATAAACCACCTACAAAAGACTCTAGACCAAAGATAAAGACCAAGAATGTTTCAAATCATTAACAATTAGACTTGTCTGTCACTAATGATTTTATAATTTAGATGCTGACAGAACAAAAGAGACACTATTTTTGATATCTTTGTTTTGATGTTAGGGAAACACACATTGAGCGTGCAAAATTGTTTGATCGTGCCGAATCACTGCAACGTCGAGAAAAAAGGAACCAAGTATATCACTGGTATACTACTCCATTGTAAGCAGTCTTGAATAAAAAGGGAAATCTCTGTTAGAACTTGAAAATGTTGGACCGATGTTTTCAAGTTTGTTTTCACTGGCTTGCACATGTGCCAGGAGTGACATAGCCCCTTTAAATGTTCAGTGACCATTCAAGAACAACAACTCATAACAAAACTGCCTTGAGAAAAAACTTATACTATATCTCTAGTTTCAATCTGCATTTTAAGGTAGGTAATCATGACGAGTAGATGATAATTGGTATAAAATAAAGGTTAGCATTTTCAAAAGATGTGGCCTCTGGACTGCAATACTTTTAAGGATATGAGTGTTGCTAGCATTGGCAAATTTTTTGTAGTTGCTATACCTTACTGATTTAATCTTCTGTATCCAGCTTACATAAGCACGAAATCTTTCCACCTCAGCAATCTGTGTAATTAACCCAGACAGCCTTTCAACCAAAGGCTGAAGCTTTTGAACATGGTTATCAACTTTAACAGTCAGCTCTTGGTGCTGCTCATGAAGACTCTTGATCTCCTTCACTGCTGAGCAGCCCTTGTCAAGGACATCTTGAATCTTCTCAGGGGTGCGGCACTCTGCCTGCCACAACTAAAAAAAAATATTAAGTAAAAAATATAAAGCAAACAAAAAAACTAGCGAAATAACATCAAATGTCAGAAAAATGCCACACGAGTTTAAAATAACTCACAAGCATAGGACAAAGAAAATGATATCATTATAGTGCAAGAAGTTTTTTGAATTTCTCATTTGTTCGCATGGACATATCTTTAAGTGCTGGAGTATTGGTTTTATTTACTAATAACGCTTTTTCCAGGGAATTGGATTACACTGAGAAGCTCTTTTGATGAACCAGAAGAGGTCACATTGTAAAAATTAGTTAATTTTTATTCTTGATTACAGTGATGAAATGGAACTGGTCTGGCACTGATTAGTGCACGCTTGAAAACAATTTAAATTTGTACTTTAGCTAGTATACAATTGTCATGTATAGTTATAGTTTTGGTGAGAGCTCCTTTTAACAGGAGTTTTCTCATCAGTTCAGTGTTTACGCTGTAAATGTTTTAATTTGGTTTTTTCTGTTATGAATAATTTTCTGTTAATCAGCTAACTAGTTTTACCAGTGTTATATTCAGTAAAGTCAGTAAATCAGTGTATGCAGTCAGTTTTCTGTTCCAGTTTACAGTACCATTTATTTTCAGTTTAGATTTATTTGCTTTAAGTTTAATTATGATTAATGTTAAGATCAAATAAGTCCTCCATTAAATCATATGATTGACAGTATCCTGGTTAACATATTATTGTGTCAGTTCTCAAACTGCTCATTAATTAAGTGGTCTTGATCTTGACTGAAGACATGCCTGGTTTAAAAAACCAAGATAATTCTAATCTCCCATGGAATATGTACAGTTCTTGAGGTACGCTTCTAATTACATATTAAACTGTGTAGGAAATAATTTCGTATTGGAGTAAGTCAAGTACAAAGGAATGCAATAAGCAGATGTAATTCACCTTCTGAGAGTCAGCTTTCGCTTGTAGTGTCACATGACTTTCGGTGTAAACAAACCCCCAAAGTTTGGCATTGGTTTCACCCATGTGTACAAACTTCAAGTCGCTATTTCAAGTTTCCGTTTATACAACCGGTTTTTTCCATGATCTATAGTCTTTAAAATTTGAATATCGAATAGCACATCCGATCCCTTCTTACCCACCTACTGTACGTGGTCGAACCACAAGTCGCATATTTTGGTGAAAAAACACCCGAAAGTTTGGACCCTAATATCACGCTATATACCGGTAAACAATGGTTACAACAAAATGATGTGCTTGTGGTACTTGTAGAGACAATTCCCAATACCCTCAGTCTTGGAAAAGAAATTCGAATGGTGATCCAGTTAAGTTTTTCCATTTTCCTGGCGCAGTTAGACAAAATAAGAGATGGCAAAGGTGGATTACTGGATGTCATCACGGTGACTCATTCGTTTGTGCGAAGGATAGTTACATTTGCAGTATACACTTTGTTGGTGGAAAAGGCCCAACAAACGAGTATCCTGATCCAATATCAGCTGTTGCCAGTAAAGAAAAGGTAAGTCTGTCAGTTTTTCTGTTTATAATACTATTTGTCATTTGAAATATTTCATGTCGTGCAGAGGTTATGCGGCTCAATCGCAAACGAAAGGTATCCGATGAACCGGGATGCAGATAAAGAGAGAAGCAAGAAAATACATTAATTTATACCTTAATTAAAAGTTATGTGAAGAAAATTCTTACTTGGACGAAAACAAAACTATGGTATCACTGGTCATGGACTTTGGTTGAACAGTTTGGACATAGTCCTTGTAGATTTGAAGTCCAGAGATATCCACACTCTCTGAAGGTGGGGTAGGGGTACTGCACTGGGACAAATTTATATATAAGGGACTTTGTGAAGTTCCAGTAGTAGCTGCCTCAGGGCTTTTATCTTGTGAACTGATCATGACATTTGCTTCTGAGTGCCTACAGGGCTGCTTTGCAGAGCTGCTTATGTATTGCTCTGAAATGCTGGAATCTTGGGAAGAGCAAAATGCTTCTTGTGATGAATCTGCTCAGGGAGACCGCCCCCCAAAAAACAGCAACAACAAAAAAAACATACTGAGCACGGGATCACGCATGAACCGTAAATTACAAGAAAACTTCAGAATGAATGGAGAAATTACTAAAGTAAGATGGAATAAGTTAGGACTTAAATCTTTACAACTACTTACCTGGAAAGGATGTCGTGGAAACTTCACTTATTAGGAAAGGGAGAACCTGACTTGACAATGGACATGAAGCTTGGGTCACAGGGTACATTTGTACCTCAGCAGTGAAGATTCCCTTGTTGGTCCACACAACAAAGATGCACAAGGTGAGGCCGCTTACAAACATTTGAAGCTGAACTTGAAAGTAGCAATTTGAACTACATTTTAAAGCAAACTTATTTCCATTTTGAATACCACCAATTTCTGGGGTCAAGAGGGCTTGTTTTGGGTGCAGATCCCTGTGTTTCCAAGGTCATTTGTATTCAACCACTCTTACTGGGCAACCATCAGAGCACTGACATTTCTGAATATTGTCCACACTAGCACCAAAGAGACTTGGACGGGGAGATTAAAAAGCCTTTTGGGATGAGCTTTAGCTTGTGATGAGTGTGGCTTGCAACACGCTGATATGCCTTGCCAGCACTCTCTTCATGTAGCAACCCCCACTCCCTGGCATTTTGTGGTTCTCTTTCCACCTGGATGGGAGGTGGACATGACTTCACAAGACCACTTTCTCCTACCAACTTTTTGGCATTTTCAGCTGGGTTTTTCTCAGGTGTATTTTTTAAGTGGCATATTTGTTTGGCAAACTCTCAAAGATACTCCTCATCTGGTGGATTTGTGTCTTCAGGAGCACGGACATCTTTTTCAATGTTTTGAGAGTAAACTTGCTTGCATTTTCTCTTTTCATGGGAAGGTTTTTTGCCTTTCTCAATGACAAGATCTTTCACTTCACATGCTTGCCTCCTAGCCCAAAAACATGGGCTACTTGTTACACTATCTTTGCCACGAGTGTTTAACAAATCCTCCAGAGCGTACATGGCAGCTGCAATATGCTTACATCCCCCATCTCGACTGCCTTTACACTTACATCGTGCTTGGAGTACACTGCCGCAGTTCGCACCTCTGCCCTCGAGAATAAACCAGAGATCGGAATAGTCTTTTCTGTCGTCCCTGTTTAACTTCATGAAAGGCTTCACTTTGGCTACATAAACATGGACTCCCTCTTGCTTTAACTGAGTAGTAAGCAAAGATTCCACGTAACCGTCATTGAATAATCTAGAGTCATCAAATGACTTATAAGCGGCGATTCCCTGTTTATTGTAATTGGTGGAGTGGTAGATTAAAATTAATGGTTAAAAATATCGAACAACCCGAATGGTGGCGAAGAGTTGAAGTCGTTCACAGTCTTCAGGGAAATGGGTCAGGAATTACCATATCAAGAACGATATAAATGTATCTACATCATTTGTTTCATCTTTTTCAAAGTTTGGGTCAACGGGTAAAACCATTCATTTGACTGCAGAAGCGATTTCCACCAGCGAAGGGTTTAAATATCCGCTCACCAAAATGCCGCGATCCTGTAAATATTTTTTAAGTTCTGCCACATTCATGGGCTGCTGTTCTTCTGCATTGACATTTTGACCCGGATGATCTTCTAGTTTCGGGGAATTAAAGCGGAGAAAATATTTAGCTGAGCAGGAACTCGTACTTCGCACAGTATTATATTAGAAGGAGAATAAAAAACGGATGTTCCATTTAATTTTTGAAGACTTTAATAGTGACTTGTGGTTCAACCACGTACAGTACGTGGGTGAGAACACATGTTCTATTCAATATTCGAATTTTAAAGACTATAGGTCATGGAAAAAACCGGCTATATAAACGGAAACTTGAAATAGCAACTCAAAGTTCATACACGTGGGTGAAACCAATGCCCCAACGTTGGGAGTTTGTTTTATACATCGAAAGTCACGTGACACTACACGCGAAAGCTGACGCCCAGAAGGTGAATTGACTTATTTCATTATCATTTTCATTAATTAGTGTTGTATTATTAACTTCATTTTGAACGCAGTTGATCATAAAGATTAATGGACTATTGAAAAAACCCTTTTTTTAACCCCGTAATTCATAAACAAACAACAGTCTTGAATCTATATCACTCTACTAATTAACTTTTTGACCTTCGAACACGATAAGCATGGCAAATATGTGGCCATCATTTTTGGGTTTCGATTTACTACAGAATACATATTGTGAGAAAACAAATAAGTTAGTTTTACCCTGAGTGAAACTTCTTGACGAAAATTAAGACCTAAAGTAAATAAAGAAAACTTGTGGTCACCTTTTTAGATTGTTTGAATTAAAGCGATATCGCTTAAACACGTGAAAATATGCATTGCCAGGCTAGAAGCTAAAAACGTAAGCGTAAGTTTACTTTCAACTTTAGCGAATTGTTGGGTAACATACCTCCGTTTCGAGACATTTCTTTTTCATTAAAGCATCTTGAAGAAGAGAGTAAATTTTAGACGTGGTTTCCTTCTCTACTCCTACATTTTTGTCCAGGAAAACAGTAACTTCTTTACTAAAATCCTCCTCCTCCACTGTTTCGTTCGCCATCTTGTCCCTTTGTTCTTTTGAGGAGGACTGGGGTTCACTGAAGCCAGCCCACAACTTCCGGTGCTTCGGATCACTCCCGCGAAAAAGATTATGTTACCACAGCTAGCCCAGGCTCGAAATATGAGCATCGGCGAACATCGGCATTGTTGCGTCACATTCGGAATTTTAGGATTTGTATGGGAAAAAAGCCTATCATTTCCGTCACCTGCGAAAATGAAAGAATTTCAATGACAAAAACAGCTTGCCTTGCATAAAATGTGTGTTACGTCGCTCCTGTGCCGGTCCATGGGCAGATTTATGGCCGTTTCATGCGTTGTACTGTAAACAGTGTTCTTTTTGCCGATGTTCATATTTCGAGTTTGGGCTACCTGTGATATTACGTGACCTTTTTGAGTGAACTACGGTCGAAGACCTTTAGTCGAACGGATGCCAATCGAACCTCCACTAACGGCCAACTCTCCAAACAGCCGCTTCTTTTTATCCCGGCGGACAGTCCACACATTCACATCTCTCTACGACGGCAACGGCCACTAAAGCGCGTCCCCACGACCTCTCGACAACGGCCAGTTTTTTCAGCGACTTATGGCTAAGTCAAGAATGTTCTTTCTAGTGCCGTGAACGAGTTTCACTGGAACGAAGAAACCCGGTGGGGGGGGGGGTACTCCCATACATTACCTATACGGGTATGTGCCGCCCAACGGGGTCGTGATTTTGAAGCAGTCCTGATTTAGAACGGGGTATCCATTTCAGAGGCGTTTTCTAGAACGGAGTATAATATTTCGAACGCACGAAAGCTCCAGTTTTTTAAGGAGCCATTTGAAATTATTCAAGGACAGATTGCTTTTAAAAATACGGTTCAATGCGTTAACCGAGCAAACTGTTGTACTCTTGTTGCACCCTATAGAACGAGTATAAAAAATTGGCCCATTTCTAGATCGGGGTATTAGTTTTAGGGCGAATTCTAGAACGGGGTATAAAAAATTGGCCCATTTCTAGAACGAGGTATCAATTTTACGGGGAATTTTTTTTTAGAACGGGGTGCCAATTTGGAGTCCCGGGCGGCACATACTCACCCAAAAAATACCCAAGTGCCCCCCCCTCCGGGCGAAGAACTTATCCAGGCTACATGTAAAGCACTGTGTAAAGTCACCACTTTACTTAACAAAATGCGTGACTGATCTCGTTCAAGAAAACAACCCTTGACAGCTTTATTTCGGTAAAAAGAAAGCAAAACATCTGCAATTCTAAATGTGAACCTTGTCAGTAAACTTATGCAGGAACGGGAATGCACCCATTTCGTTTATGATATACGTACTTAGACTGTGTGCCATTTATATGCTGCAGTACTAAGCATAAATTGTCTGCGATACTTATAGCGAATGTTGCCGGTACCTTGTTAGCCTCCCACGCAGACGTTCTTCGAACCCCTAAGAACGTTTGCGTGGGAGGCTAGTACCTTGCTTGTTTGGTCTTTTCCTTTTTTAACATTTTGATTCAAAACATTATTTGACCTTGTTGTGTAATGTTATGATTGGATCCAGTATAGGCTTCAGTAAGAATACACAAGGCACAATAAACATACAGTTGACTCCCGATAACTCGAACCCTCGCCAACTCGAACCAAGTCGATTTCCCCTGGATTTCCCTCACACATTTACTGTAATTTTACCCTTCGTAACTCGAACTCGATAACTCAAACCTCCCGCTAATTCGAAGTAATTTTTGATTCCCTCATTTATCAGTTCTATATAATTCTCCCCGCGATAACTCGAAACGTGTCTAAACGCGCGACAAGATGAAAAAAAACAAAAGGCAATGTACAAAAGTCCGAACCACTGAAAAAATAAAACAAGAAAAAACAATCAAAACAGGACTTCTTCGTGTCAACTTTTTGTTTTCAAGTTTTTGTCACTCCAGTTCAAATTCAGTCATGTTCGGTCCATCTCAGTATATTCATCAAGCTTTCCTGCTTAATTCCTTTTTCAAAATATTAATCTATATCTCTTGCTACCCTTGAAGTGAAGTGTGCATGATAGTTGCATTCCCTCCCAATTCATTTGCTTATTTCCTTAGGGCCCGGTTATTTCATTCGAACTCCCGATAACTATAACTGTTTTCGATTTCCCTACAAAGAAGGTTCGAGTTATCGGGAGTCGACTGTATTGCACTGCCCGAAAAAATAAAAAAAGAGATGTTCATATTACACCCCTACCTCCCCAAAACGGCCACCTCCCTACAACAGCCACTTTCTTTGGTCTCTAAGAAACGGCCATTGTGGAGAGTTTCAACAGTACCAAAAATCGAGAAACGTGCCCCTGCTGGATGGAAGGCTAAACTGAAGCAAATGTTCTCAGAAATCTAGTTAGTGGCAAAATGAGGTGCTAAAAATAAGTTTTTCTCAGAACAAGGACTACTGTGACTGAACGGAACATTAGAAATTAAAGTAAATGATAAAAATCTTAAAATTTCTTGGGTTAAGGCGTCCGTTCCGTTACAATTAGGGGCTATTTCAGAGGTTGTTTACATGGAGGGAGGAAGACCCCAGAAGCCGGAACAACTTTACGTTGGGTTTTACTTTACGTGCAAAAATTTCCGTGTGGTGCCCAAGTAGAGAAGGTTTGAGAGGGAAATTAAAAATGGCGGGCGACAAAAACAAAAATGCAATTTGGGCCCTTCTGCTCTCTTCACTGGCGTCAATAAACTACTACCCTTCAGCAGAACTATGACAATAATCAGATCGTGGCAACGAAATGGTTGGGCTTTATGGCCGTGATTAGCCACTGAACGACCGGCCGCCATTGTTGTCTCGGATCTTCCTAGCGCTCAGAGGACAAGTACAACCCTTTGCATGTAGACCGAATACAAAAAATACATGGTGCTAGGATGATCCACCTTCTATATCTTCCTGATAATAGGATCGATCTTCTTCCCTTCGTGTAAAAAGCCACATAATTGATTTTCGCCATCTGACCCCGTGAAACTCGGCTTAAGCAACGACGACTGCGGCAGCAACCGTAGAATGGCAAAAAGCAATTGTTTTAGATCAGATTAGCAAAACAACAACTTTGCACGGGCTTCAGGCTTTTTTGCACATTTCTTTGCCGTCACTACACGACTACGACGTGAAAATGCCTAATTTCACGTTTTTATGGAGGACGCGAACACAAGACAACAATTTCCTTTTTTGTGAACTTAAAAACAGTCCTTTAGTATTCAGCTCCTAAAAAAATCGCCAACATTCGTTCATGGGCACACAGGGTCGGCCAGCGGGAGTCCCTTTGGCAATTCTCGGGCCACAGTTTTGGCATCGGGGCTGCTACGACGGCCGCCCGATATGGCATTCCAGATCTTGCAAGACCTTGGGCCAGTGATGCATATCAACTCTACGCTAGAACCCCAGTGGAATCAAGTTTGGAAGTTTTTTGGAGGCTCCTTCAGTAACAGGTACCGTATGCGTAATGTGGAGCTGTCGCTTAAAGGAGTGCTTGCACTCGCCTCGGCAGTAAACATAGTCTTTGATACACGGGGCCTTAACTCCCTGAGGCTAAATGAAGGAATCCCAGTGGCTTGCGTACGGCCTTGTGGGAAAAGCAAGGGAAAGCAGAGGAGAGAAAAGGCAAACAGAAGGCAGTCTGTCACCTTATATCAAGCGTGGACGTGTCCTGCGTTAGTTGTCCCCGAACCAAGAGAGCGCATTGTCCCTTCTGCCGCCTTGTTCGCTGTACACGAGGAACCGTTTCTCGCACGTCTAACGCCACTTTAGAAGGTGGGGTTACTTAAGCAATTAAACTCTTTTAAAAGTGATGACAGTAATCAGTTAGAGAAAATCCATCGACATCTCTAGAAGGAGCACCATAAAATTAAACTTAACCACACTTAAAAAACAGCGCTCAAACTGTTAATAACTTCACAACACAGTTAACGGACACAAAAGTGAAATCGTTACCCATACATTTACTCTTACGTTGCGTTTCGTATTAAATATGATTTGTATTCAAGTAACATCTGAAGCTATTTATTTTCACCACTGTAAAAGAAAAATAAGCCAACATTCCCAGGCGTGAGTTGCATATCAATCACAACAACAACGCTGGCTCAAAATAAAATTCAAAACAAAAACAAAAATGCCAGAGCCAGTCCTTCCGCATTTATTCGCGTTTCAGAGAACGTAGATGTGCCAAAAGCGCAATCTTATAGGCCATTTCCGAGTTCCCCCGGGCCTCTGTATCAAAACGAGGTTAAGTGCTCAGCCTTTGATATGGAAAAGGTTTTTCATTCTTATGCATGTAAAACTCATTTTCACAAGAAAGGTTGTGCACTTGGTCTCATTTTGAAAGTGAGGGTTTTGGAACTCGGAAGTGGCCTATTGAAGACGCGAGTGCTAAAGGTTCGTGCAAACAGGCGATCTTGTCTTTAAGAGGACGCGTAAGGATTTTTATGCTATTTTTATGCTATGTCTGTTTCATGTTTTCCCTGATGTAACCTGTAAAGGTATCCACACTCAGACTTATTTTACGAAGTAAATAATTTTCTTTAGGTCGCAAACCCGTGATTTGATTTTACACTAAGATCGAACGAATTACTGAAGCCACGAGGCTTTCACAAACTTCTATTTTCAGTCATTGGCCTAAAATTTAATAAAATTTTGTATTTCAATTTTTGTGTTAATTCTACCCGTGGGATATCTGTAAACTAGCCGTATAGCTAAGTACATTTACCACGTAAATTTAAGCGTCCTATGTCCTACTGACCAATGAAAACACAGCTGTTATTGTGAATACGGACGATCGGATAAGTCGTTCTGAGAGCTTCCTGGAGCCCAAAAAATTAGGATTAACGATAAAATTTGATGTGCACTCTAAACAGGCTGGGTCATCTTGAAGCTCCGAGAAGCTCTTGAATCTGCAAAAAGAAAAAAAATAGACAACATTAAACACGCTTCATACATTACACAAAATAAAATCTATCACCAATTCAGTGCGATAATCTTTCCCGCATTCCCTTCTATCCATGACCGAGCACCCAACGAAAGAGGTTAGAGGCAATTTTGGGCGAAAATCAAGTCAATGTAACCACAGCACGAGAACACGCGTGTGACGTACTTTCGACTTTTTTAGGGTTGCAATACAAAATTAATGCAAGAGGAAAATTGTCGTTTATGTTCACCCCTTAACTGTTCCAGCCAGTGTAATCATTTCAGTATTAATACTATTATTCCACTCAAGAGTAACAACACTCTATAATTTCTGTACCTGTGTTTTGTACATGGATTTCACATCTTCCAAGTCCATTTTAAGCTCCTCGCACTCCTCGGCTTTTTCACCATACATTTGTAAAACTGCATTATGTCTCTGATCCAGTTCCTGAAAAAAAAAAACAAACAAACAAACAAATAAATAAAAAATGATAATACTTCTTGTAGAAATTGTAAATTAGAACTACGCCCGACAGGGAAAGGGATCGATTGATTTCAACGAATGATCATTCACGGGATTTAGCCAGAAACTCAAAAAAGATGCCAGTTCCCACCCAAGAGAAAAAAAAGCAACAACAACTGACAACAATTGCCCGGTAGAAGCTAATGCGGTCTTGAAAACAGGGAAAAGTTCGATGAGAGATGCTATTACGACTGCGCCCTTCGGACGCAAAAATAAGCAAAGAAACTACAGTAACGTCCAGCGTAACAGAACTTTCTTGATAACAATACTAATGAATTATGTTAGTGTCAATTAAACTGTGTATAAGCAAATCACGCTTTCAATAATAGGAAAAATATCCCAAAGTTCTCGGTACTTTTTTCTTTCCTTTTCAAAATTACGTTTTTATATCTTTCTCTTTTTTCTGTACTCATGGTCTGCACAACTAAACTCTAAAATAGTTACTTTATAATGGGCGTGAAACACCATGGTGCAAAGATACAAGCTATCAGTGGCTTGTACTTCAAGTAAAATTGCGCGAGAAGTCTGGCAATCAGCAATTTAACACATCTGAAGTGCTTTTGAAGTGTAACCAAAGAAAGGGAACAAGGAACAATGGGGAAATGAAATCGGGGCAGTTGGATCGCCGCAGACATAAAAGGTGATCCGGATTCTGGAATCTGAAGAATCCAAAATCCAGGACTTTGGAATCCGGAATTTAGCTCAAGGAATTCGGAATCCCACTAACGATTGGAATCCGGAATCCAAGTTCCACTGACAAAGAATCCGGAATATAGAACCCTAGACTGTCTTGGATTACCTTACTTGGGGCGAAGCAAAATAATTCATTTGCATTTCAGGAATCTTTCTATTAAGATGCAGCATAAACCTCGTGATCATTACATTGGCCATTCCCGATTTTTACAATTTTTTCGATGGACTGACCCAAACGTCAATAATATTTAAAATAATATTTTATCCTTGAATGACTTACATTGTAACGCGTTCGTAGATCAGCCAAACGCCAGCTGTCCTGCTCAACATTCTCCAGTTTAGAGCTGACACTAGTCAACTCCTCTGTAAGTGAGTCGCGTGTTTTTTGCAAAGAGTTAATCTCGTCCTGCGATAAAAACAGTCAACCATTACGTTAACATGATAACACTGTAGGATTGTATCCAAAGGCAAAAATCACTTTGCACAGCATAAAAAACAACAACAACAATATCACAAAAAAGTACTGGTAACACTTTAGGATTTCATGCACTGAGACACCCTGTACAGCACAATAAACAGTACCACAGGAAAGTACTGCTCAGAAGTTTTCAATAAATGGTTCATATTTTGTTCTACCACATTCATGCACTTATGAACAGCATGAAAGGTAAGGACTGGTTAGCACTGTATTCACCTCCAAATCACATGACGCCAGCTTTTATTCCAAAATAAAAGGAGAATTACAAAGAAATATGGGCACCTGAAGAAGCTCGATTTCGCCATCTTTTTGTTTCACCTGAGCCTGCAGTCTTTCGACCATAGCAGGACCAGCTCCCATGATGCCTCTTGAGATGCCATCGACGATACTGCTGCTGCTACTTTGTCGAGCATACATCCTGAGAGGGGATCCCTCGAGACGCTCCTCCTGTAAAAAAACAAAACAAAACAAAACAAAACAAAACAACAACAGATACCTACTAATTCATTTAAAAAACCAGCCCTACAACCCTTAAAGAATTGAAATATAGTCATTAAGCGTATTGTGTTTGTTTTGTTGTGTATTCAGGTTTGGGTAGTATGTCATGTAAGCCTTACTGTTCTAATGCCTTCTGCTCTCAGTATGAACTGCAAGTGCGATGCATCAAATAAGCCATATGCACGATGACGTGTTTTTACTACTAAGACCAGAATTCATTTTGTTTTTTCTTTCATATTTAAATTTGGCAATCCCAGTGAAGTTTGAATAACAAAAGCCCTCATTCACTACTTTCACATTAACCATGATATACCTTGCTTAGCCTCTAAAAATTTTGCATAAGTATTGTTTTCAAGTTCTCTTGGGAGGATTGTAAATTCCAAAAGAAATACGAAACAATGCTTTTGCAAAACTTTTGGGGGCTATACAAGATGTATTATGGAAATGTGAATGTAGCGAATTAAAAAAAAAACCTGAAGGATTCTGGTAGCAGTAGTAAAAAGACGCCACAGTACAAATGGCCGGTTCTCGGGAATTTGCATACTTAACACATTTTCCCAACAAACCAAGTATTGCTAACGTTGACTAAAACGCAGTTTCTGTGTTCTGTGTTCGTTGAGTTCACTGGTCGTTCACACTGGACTTGGTTTCTAGATATTTAATTGAAAACCCCATGAGTTTCCCATACCTGTGAAAGTTCATTAGAGGCGGATGGCGATGGAGGAACTCCAGAAAAGCTGGTCTGACGCAATAAGATTCTCTCCTGAAAAAAAAAAATTGTACCCTGAGTAAATTCATCGACTCAGGCTATGTTCACACCATACTAAATAGCTCTTGCGCGTGCGCCGACAGGATAGGGCTCCTGTTCACACCTTAAAACGGAGCGAAGCTACGCCGTGAGGATCTTGAAAGGATAAGTTTCTGTCATTCGCCGTCGTAGTGTGGATTGGTATTCATACCGTGGCGAAAGTAAGTAGGGGCGAGGACTGGAACCCACTGAGAAGCAAGTAAGCATTGACAAAAGAGAATTGACAGTTTCGTGCACTAAACCTTCTAGGCTAACCATTCCTGTGCTCCTGTGAGCAACGACCAACCACAGCGCCCGTAATATCCGCCAAATTGTGTCATATCCAGTATAGTACAAACTGATAGCCTTAGATTGATGTAGGAATCTCTACTCTTATACAGTAATACAAGCGTCAGGTCAGTAAGTTATCTTGCATCTCTTGACACTAATTGTTGTTGTTGTTGAAACAAAGTGTTGCTGATGAAAGGGTCAAATGTTTGCACTCACTTTACCACATTGGTTCAACATCTGCCTTTAGTTTAAACGGTAATTGTGGCAGGAATCTAGTTCGTACGGAACTGTTTCATTGTATAATTACTGTACTGGTATAGAATACCAGTTGATCGTTGTTGTTGTTGTTCTTTTTTTTTCAGTCAAAATCAAGAAACAAGATAATTACTAAAACTACCTGTTCATCCAGGGCATTTTGAAACCTTTTCTTCTCTGTTTCCAACTTGCTCCTCTCCACAGCCAGCTGTTGTTCAAGTAACGCCTGTAATAACAACAAGAAGAAACATTAACAACAACCACAACAAAAACAACGAGATCACAACACGCAGCTTACTTCAGTTTTTCCCTTGCACTATTTGTTGAAAAAAAAAAAAAAAAAAAACACCGGCCGGTCATTCACCCTTTTTAACATGGTGATCTTTGAAATGAAACCCTTCGGCATAAAATTTTAAGACAAAGTCGAACGTCGACCTTTGCAATATTTTTATTCAATAACCTATGTCAGGCATTTACGTCTTAAAAGCGGACATCAAAGGCACAAGAACAAGTGTCGATTAGAGAGAAGCGTCAGTTTTATCAAGGGATTGCGTAAGATTGCAACTTAATCTACCTCCGAGTGGACTAAACTCGTCTTCAGTGTCCGCTGTCCTTGTTGTAAAGGGTTTGATAGCAATTTTATTTTCAAAAAATAAGTTATGGAGTTTTCGCTGGAACGCCATGGTCGTCGCCAAAGAACTCGCCAAAGCTGCGCCTTACCTTTTCCACGTTGTTATCTTCCATCATTTTTCGATATTTGACTTCCAACGTCTCTACTCTAGCAGCTTGCCTAAGACAAAAGCAAAAGGCATTAAGCAGACACCACTGGGACTGAGTTATCAGTTTAAATACGGATTTCCTTGCACCAAAGGAAGTAGAACATATGTGAAGCCGTCGGAACTACTGCGTATGATAAACTTTCATTAGTTTTAGTTTGGCCAAATTGGCCTTTTGGTCTTGAAATGGAAAAAAATTGTATGTCCTCCGCATCAACAGGTATCCTTCAATGATGATGATGATGATGACGATAGTTATAATCAATACAATAGAGCGTTTTCCCTCACGTGGCCAGCATCTATGCAAATTTAATGGAACAAAAGAAAGCGTTTGAGTAAGAAAAGAATTCAGCTCTCCCAGGATTGTCTTGGTACACCAACATGGCCGCCGTTTCACTGTTTAGGAACACCAATATGGTGCCAAAACGCTCTATAAACGATGATGTTGACGATTAGGAGACAGGTAAATTTTCACGGTACAATTTGCAATAATTATATCTATTCACCAAACCGTCCGTTAATAGACTGAGCATGTGACTGGCGAATACCTGAATCGCTGGTTCAACATCATCATGTAGAATTAGCAGAGATTTTGTTAAAAATAGTATGGTGAGTCTTAGGACTCATCTTGTGAAAAATCATGAGTCCCTGCATGTTCATAACCAATGAGTCCCAGTTCCAAAAAAAAGAAGGAGTCCTAAATAGAAAATGCTTGGGCCTTTATGTAACCAAACAGTATATGGAGACAGACAACAAAACTCTTTATTACAGTTTACTGAAATCAAAATATAGCCCTTCCATATAGTTAAAGCACAAAAGAGACTAAAATAAATATATGCATCTTTAAACAACAGCCACAGAAATCACACAAACAGGATATGCCACCATCGATTGATCATTCTTTGCGTCTAAGGCACGCATGCGATGAATTATTTTGCGTCTTTGGGGATTTCTATGCGTCAAGGACGCAGGACGCAGAGGTAACAAAATCACTGAATTAGTCGCTCCACTCTATTCCTAATTTACCGTCTGAGGAGTAAAAGAAGATGGTGGACCTATCCCTTCTAGCTATTTGAATAAACGCCCATTGTTGATAGTCAAACGAGAGTGTTGTGCGAAAATCAGACTATTCCAAGTCTATTTCCCTCGTATAAGAAACCGTATAAGGCCAGGCTGGGGTAAAGAATACAAAACGAATTGCGAAAGAAAATCGTTTTTTTTGGAGAGAAATATAAATAATTTTTAAGTCACCGACTGTTTTATGTATCCTTGATCGGGTCAATATTAGGTTTATTACCTGCTTTTTGCTTCCTCTGCAGTGTCCAGTCTCGCTCGTTCTACCTCCAAGGCAGCCTCGAGTCGAGACTTGTCCTGCCGATATGTGGACAGTTGTGATTCTACAGCAGTCAAACGTGAGTTCAGTTCTAGCGCATGCTCTGTTGCCACTCGCTCCTTCTCTTGGGCCTCTGCTAGTTGAATCTGAGCTTCATCTAACAATAGAAGGAGCATTATTGGTTATGGGACTAAATCACGCTCTAGTAATATGCCTTGTCTTACAAAAGGAGGTCCATTATCAATAGCGACATTCACTCGAATACTCGATAATGAACCTCGACTACCATTCGAATGTTCATTATTGGGCGTATGCTACAATTGCATACCTTAAAATGAGCGTCGTCTATAAAAGAAAGAGAAAGATAACTTAAAGCAATACGATTAACTCAGATAGCTGATAATGATCAGTATTCAGTGTGCAATGTAATCAAAACTACCCGTCGAATCGTCTTGATTTATAGGGGCTACTATTATTCTGGACTATGAAGGACTAAAAGGTCGATATTTTTCTGCTCTCTGTCATTTCCACAACTCAGCAAGCCAGATCCCCTCCTTGACTTACAGTTAAAGCTTTGGCCAAATAAGAAATACTTACCAGGAGTGTGGTCTGTTTGCAAAACTGTGGATATTGTAAAATAGAAGAAAAAAAGCATATAGAATGTAGCCTTTCAACATATTCTGAATACAGTTAGGTTTCCACTTACTAAGCCTGTCCGTCAAATTCCTTTCCACTCTTTCCCAGGTCTGTGTGTGGTTACCATAGCTGTTTTGTAGGTTTTCAATCTGTCGCAACAGTGGTCTGGTAGCTGCGTAAGACGAAAAAAAATGTTAAAAAGAGATAGCCCTCCTTTCAGTTCCCCTTCTTCAGTTCGATACAACATTAAATCTTCAACGAGCCTTTCGGAAAATCCCACAATGTTGAGCCTTTGACCTGCAGACGGAAAGACTTTTGCGTGATCACGTAGAGCACGTAGAGATGACGGTCCCGTCTGAATTCGGGGATTTTTATTTTCCAGCTATCTACAAGCACAGAATTTGAATGAAATACCCTCTAGTCCTTCAGTTGCATAATAAATGTGATTTTCTCAATACTGAGTATTACGCACGCGTCAGCGCCATTTTGGCGGAAAAAGTGATCGCCGTCGTCATTATACTACAGGTTTTATCCAAAATATTGTAATAACGGACACAAGTTATTAAACGTTCGTAGTTTTTATCATTTTGCGATCAGGGGAGGGCTTAACCCCCCCCCCCCCTCCTAAAATAAAAGAGACCGTGTAAACTGTTTTTGTGAAAAAAAAATAAAATAAAATGAAGCTTTCCGGGATGTCAATTTTTGAAGAGCACGCGAAAAACGTTGCGTCAAATCTCGTCCTCCTCGTCTTAACGGGTCTAAAGGTCTCTAATATCGAGCCAACAGGCGTCAACAGCGGTTTAATTAGCCTACATACCATGGGTAACACTTTCAGTGAGTTCTTGATTACGAGATTCTGCTTCCTGTAATCTCTGTTCAAACAAAACAACTAACAGTTACTGAGAGGTTTAACAATAAAGAACCAGCGATGGTGAGACTTTACTATGTTTATTTTACTATTTTGTAGCCTGTGCACAGACCACGCCTCCTTCTTTCCTTTCAGGAAAAATCGGAGAAGGGGGTGGGGGTGGGGTCTGTACACAGGCCCACTATTTTCATCATGTATAACTTTAATTTAGTCCTGTGATCTTTTCCGGGAGTTGTATTCAGGAAGAATCAGGTTTCAGGGGAACAAGGTGAAGGAGCAACCCATCCGACATTTCTCCCGCTGTCGTGTTGGAAGCTTCGACCCAGAGGACTGAGGCGAGTCGCGACAAATAGCACAGAAGGATTATACACGTTTCATTCCTTTTTGAAACTCGTAAACACTTTATAGCAATTTATACCGAGGTTACATGGCACCTGACATGACATACCTGCTGCATGTCACTTATTTCCTGTCGAAGATTGTCCTCTCTTCTGTTGGTCTGCTGCTCGCCGCGTCGCAGACTGGTCTGAAGATCACTTATCTATTGAAAAAACAACAACAAAATCAATCATTAAACTCCTACAGTACCGTATTTACTTGACAATGTGGCGCTTATTAGAGTCATTTTCAAAACCTTTCCATGAAAGATATTTTACGGCTTTTGTGTGAAGAAACTAAAAGAACAGAAATGCGCAAATTGTGGAAATTTACGCATATTAGATGATATCTGAATGATGTGCCCTGACTTATTACTGTGGACATAAAGGCAGTTCCTCCTCAAGGAGAGCTGCGGCATGTTATTTATTTGAAGGGGTATAGCTGACCAAATAAAAGGAAATTTCTAACGGTCATTCGCCAAAGACGACTGTGCCGAGAAACTAATAGACACTAAAATGCTTGTAAATTTTGACTTTATAATCAGAATTTTTCAACAAAAATAGCGACGAAAGGAGTTTTTAGCTGTTCGGTACTATATACATCTTCAGTAATCTGCGTAACAGCCGCCGTTTGGCTTTCCTGTTAGAAATGCGAGTGACGCGAGGGCGACGAGCGGGAGACACGCGAGGGCATGGAGAGAATCGCGCTTCGCTAGACCGGCTAAAAGGAAACGGGAGCGGGTGCTACACGTGCTATAAAAGAAAAAAGATGATGCTCCACTTAATTTCAAATCTTACCTGGAATTCTAGAGTTTCAATTTCTTTCTTAAACTGCCGTTCTTTCTTTTCCATAGCAATTCTTAAGCCTTCCTTAGCGTTTATCTCAGCGCTTAGAGCTGCTTCCTAATAAACACAACAAAACTTCGTAGTCTACATACTACAAAACAAAGAAAAGATCGTTCATTTTCAACCAAGAAGGTATTATAGTGGACGGGGTTTCTTGATTTAAAAACTTGCAGTCGTAACATTGTTATTAAACTTTTACGTGTATGGACAAGTAGGCCTTCAAATGGTAACCCGACATTTGCGAATTTTCAATCGCGTTGTTTTTCGTTGCTCTAAAAGTCACATACCTGAACGGCGCTATCTTTGGATGCATTTTCCTTATGTAGGTCTGCGAGTTGTCTAAAATAAATTCACAGCGTTACAATAAAATTGACAACGATATTTCCATGGCAATGTACCAGTAAAGTTTGTATTTTGAAAACGGCATTGGAAGAGGGAGGCAGGGTTCTATCTAGGGTATTTGAGGGGTAGAAGCTCCCCTCTCCCAGAAAAAAATTGATATCATTTCAGTATGTAATTAAATATATCGGAAAAATCATCCAGATGCGACGAAGTCAGTGCACAGACCGAAACATTTCTCAAAATTGTGTCTCAAAATGCACCAGATTGCATCTCAGCGCATATTCATTTCAAAAAATTTCCGAGGGACATGCCCCCGGACCACCCCTAGGAAGCCCGTCGCCTACGCCCACTCAGGACTTCTCCCCCACACGATAAATCGTAGATAGAACCCTGGGAGGGATTAGAAAGGATAACAACTTCGAGGCGGACGACCAAAAAAACTTTTACGTACGGAAGATACATTACAAGAATGACTGAGCAGTCAATTTTGCCAGTCGGGCGACTGACTCTTTATTTAAAGTTTATTTTACCACCGCCGTGAGTGGGACAAATGCACTGAAAGACATAGTGCGATCCGTTTGTTGAATTTGTTTCTCCAGTTCGGTCAAGCGACAAGCTTAACACATTTATCGACCAGAAACTCTGGTCTCGAAACTCAAGAAACTTCTTTTTAAGCTTGCTCTGGGTAAAAACTGTTCAACAGATGGAAGTTAAACGAAGAATCTAACCATCTACTTGCCTGTGTCGCAGACGCTCTAAACCTTCAGTATAGTTTAGAAGAGTGCGTGGGCCGGCTGCATCGCAGGCTAACCATCTACACGTTTTATCCAAACGTCAAAAGCATGCTATTTTTTTAACGGATAGGTTAACCTTTCTCTACACGTTTAATGCACATAGAAAACGGATGATGAAAAGAGATTTAAAGATTTCAAAAGAACGATCGCGTTGTAAACGTCTTCTTCAGTTAAAACGGCCAAACGCTAGTGTAGCCTGCGCAACACGCGGTTTTTTTTGGTCTGTTTTTCTTTTGTGGTAAAAAGCCAAGCGAATGAAAAATAGAAGCAAAACGAGAAAACGGCTGGGAAGGGACTAGAGAAAGAAGGCATACGAAATCCCGTCACACGACCAGAATTTAAACATTACCAAGTAGGGTGGGGTACTTTTATGGAGAGAGTTGCTTTGAACAGATATTCGTGATTTTTAATCATAGTCTTTACATTTTCGAGTGGGTACTACCGCTTTTGGCTATCACCACAGTAGCCTGCGAAAACATCCGTTTCTCCTCGCTCTTCGCCGCTGGGGATGTTTCGCGCGGAGGAACGTCTGCGACTCAGCAACAGAAAATCCATACTGATGACGTAAAATCTGTCCGGAATCTGGTCAGTCTCGTTGATTGGTCGACGGAGTAGTTACATTGTTTTAGCTATTGTTTACGAATGACAGACAAAAGAGAAAAGGCCACAAAGGTTAAATGTAAACGCGAAGAATCTCTAACAAAACAGTCAATATTTGTGGAATATAGTCTTCTCTAGAAGAAGCATTTGACTTTGCTGGAACTCTTTGGCAGATGAACACAACACTTTACCAAAATCGACCAGAAGACACGTAAAATTTGTCAAATTTATATTTGGAACCCCATGACTACCGGATTTATTATGTAAACATTGATTTACGTCATCAGTATGGAATTTCTGTCGCTGAGTCGCAGACGTTCCTCCTCGCAAAACGTCCCCTGCGGCGAAGAGCGAGGAGTAACGGATGTTTTCGTAGGCTATCACCACAGTGCCTATAAGAAAACTGTAAGCCCTCCACTTAGCTTCCAAAAGTGCCAATTATATATCACCACTCACTTGTAAGCATTGTCCAGTGCAGTTTGCATGCTTCTTATCTTCTCAGCTGAATCATCTAGCTCAGACTAAAAAAACCCAGAAAGGAAACATTTTGAATCATAGATCGATAAAGTAATCATTAATTTGTCATCCTAAAAAACGTTACTGTTTAATGCCAATAAAATTAATCAAGTTTCCAAAGGTCAAGATCAACTTGAAAATGGTCGAGACAATATTGCTCAGTATCTTTACACAAATACAATTCGTTTCACTGAACTTGTGGCCAACGACACTCTTTCTGAGCCAAAGAGAACAAATAACAATTATTCACCGAAGTGGAGGTGGCTAGTGGTGGCATATACCGAGCTGCGAAGCAGCGAGGCATATATCCACCTCCAGCTATTTTTTTAACGGATAGGTTAACCTTTCTCTACACGTTTAATGCACATAGAAAACGGATGAAGAAAAAGATTTAAAGATTTCAAAAGAACGATCCGTTGTAAACTGCTTCTTCAGTTAAAACGGCCAAACGCTAGTGTAGCCTGCGCAACACGCGGTTTTTTTTGGTCTGTTTTTCTTTTGTGGTAAAAAGCCAAGCGAATGCAAAATAGAGGCAAAACGAGAAAACGACGGGGGAAGGACGAGAGAAAGAAGACATACGAAATCCTGTCACACGACCAGAATTTAAACTTTACCAAGTAGGGTGGGGTGGGGGTCAAGGCCAAAAGACCTAACCTATAATACGGCAGCAAACCGGGAAGGCATTTTGCTCGCAACTTACGTGAGTTTGGCGTCGCTCGCTCGGAGTAACTGGAGGTGAATCAGTAAATAGTGCAGGATATTCACTAATTGAGTAGCCAATCAGAACGCTCGAAAAACACTATCCACTGTAGTTTTAGTATATACTAAACAGAAATAGGAAAGATAATGATGAAAAAATCCCAGCGAAACTTCATCACTGCGTACGTTCAAGACGGACCGGTTAAAAAGCAAATGTGAAGATTTTTTAAAAAAATAATGTGACCTTTTGTACTCACCTTTAACTTACTAACTTGTTCATCTTGCTTTTCAACATAAGCATTCAGTTTTGCTATAGCATCTGAAGAACAAAATTAAAATAAAACTGGTGAATTTTCAACGCAATTTTGATTCACGATCAGTCTATTTCATAGGCTACTTTGTAACAGTGATTCACTTGCAAGGACGATTGTGAAAGATACGGGGCATGCTTATTAAACAAAGAGACCATTTACAATAATTTATTTAAGAAAGAAACATCAAAACAGAACCCTACATAATTTCAAAATTTAGTTTTCATTCCTATGCGAAATGTAACTTATTTTCCCATGGTGACAAATTAAAGAGAACACTTTGGCGTACTTGTAGGATACGCAGACGTATCTCCGGTTGCCAGGACATTCGTATGTGGTAAGCATCAAAATTGTTCTTGATTTAAATGCATCTTCCTATAATTAATCTTGGGCGGGTATGGTATTGAAAGATACTGAGTATAAAATAATGGAAAGCATACATTTGAACTCAAACATATGCATTTTCAGGCTAGAAATTACACCTGTGTTGGCATTTTAAACATAAATCATGACATTCTTAATGCCTACGCCAAACGTCGAACTTTTCATGAGACGAACCTAACTCTAATTTGGGTCGACCCTAAATTAAAGTGAGATCGTCTGTTGGGTCACACGTCGAACTTAGGATGCGTCGAACCAATCAACTGAATCAGATCAAAAAGCAATTTTAATAAATTTTCTCCGAGGGGTCTTTTAAGTCTTTTTTGAGGGGGCTTATTATAGTCTGCTTCACAGCCGTTCTTTGTGTTGTCACGGCTCATTGCTGAGGGGAGCTTATTAGAGAGGCAGGACATACTGTATTCTATAACTGGAGTACACGAACACCCTTGGCAGTTCACTAACATTAACATTGTAGCTTCAATTCCTTAGCTAAGCAGTATCATTATAGGGCAAACATTCCATGTTTTTACAAACTCATTTTCAACAGTCACATTTATGACTACGTTCACCCGGACGATCAAACTCAACCTACTTTTGAAATGACTCCTGGGTTCAAACCTTTCACAATCACATATATCTAAAACACGTCACTGATGAACTTTTGGGTTCATGCAATGAGTTGGGGCTTCACTGAATACAGCGTTTTTTTTTTTTCTTTCCAAAAAGTTAAGTTATTTTAGTTATTATTTAGTAGTAGACAGTTCAAATCATGGCCATTGAGTAGGGTTTGTGGAGGATTCATTTCAGAGTAGAGGCTTAATAATTTATGGATGCTTAAAACGGGGGAGGGATTAATGGAGAGAGGGCCTTTAACGAGGCTAAATGTACATTATCATACAATATTTTAATTTATTATTTTAGTTCGTCGCATGTGAAGATCGACGTTTGTCCCGGAGACGATCTTTAGATGTTCTATCCGCCTGAAGCAGACGGACAGAACGTGTTGAACGATCCAAACTTATTCAGACAAACTTAACTGAGCCAGACGTCGAACTTTTTCATGAAATTAACCCACTAAGTTCGGTTCGTCTCATGAAAAGTTCGACGTTTGGCCTAGGCCTAAAATTGTATAATCAATGACTAAAGTAGCGCTTTTATCAACAATTTCATTCATTTATCATACAATTCTGTTAAAGGCCGTCAATCGCCCACCCTCCAATCAATGTTGTTTATAGTTGAAAACTTCAATGAAGGGGGGGGGGGGGGGGACTACCTGGGGGGGGGGGGGGGGGGGGTACTACACGGGGGAAGGGATAGATATGGTGTCTACTATGCAAAAAAGGTGCCATTCTATTCGGGTGTCTCAATTCTTTTGTCCGTCTTTATGTTCAAGAATCTTCTGCGGAAGCATAGAAAAACTATTATAACGAAAATTCCTATCATTCCCAACTACTAATTAGGATACCTTTTTACTTTCGCTCAAGACGATTTTTTCCTACATGTAACACCATTTTTTTATAGTACAGAACTAGTCCAATGACCAAGTACCTGCTTGCTTCCTTTCAGTTTCATCCTTCACTTTTAGGATTTCTGTGAGCCTGGTGTTTTCAGCTGTCATGTCTTCCAAATCTTTGCTGTAAAAACAGTATGTTCAAATGGTTTTTCAAGCCCAATAACCTTTTATTGGCAATGCACGTTGGAATGACAAGAGAGGTCAGCTTACATGTAACAGGGTACATGCTGACTACCGATTCTATATTAACCAGAACTAGTGATGTGTAGTCTCCTTCGCAGCCACTCGGCCCGGAGTCACGCAAGCTCCCCTTGCCGCCCCCACGTGGGGGGAGGAGGTGGGGAAGGAGGTATTGCCTGACTCAGGCACGAGCGGCTGCGAAGGGGACTACTAGTGATGACGCTACAGTATATTATGATAATGATTATGACAGTGATGATGATGACGATGACGATGATGATGACAATGGCAATGATGATACCGTCGGTTAAATCTAAGCGTGTACACGTGAAAAAAAAAACATGTTCTAATCGGGTGAAAACATGACATGTTTTGCCGCCAAACATTCGGAGTAGGCGGTTGTTGTAGACTTGATTTGTTTTCGCTCAACAAAATATTCTGGAGGCAAGTGCGCTGTTTCTGAGCGAGAAATATGTCTGAAAGTTGGGAAAAATGAAATATGAGCTTAACAAGCTGATCAAAAACATATAAACAACTTACCTTTGGTGCGACAGTTTGCTTCAACGGCTGTCAAACTTCAAATGTTTGGCGGCAAAACACGGCATGTCTGACACCCTAATTAGAATATCTTTTTTTTTGTCTCGTGTCCTCGCAACCGACGGTGGTATACCCGCACCACCCATTATTGATTGAAAATGAAATTTGTTATTTACATCTTAACGTTAGTAAAGGGGAAAAAACAGAGAAAATGGTTAGTGAAAACGAGAGAAGGAGCAGTTATCTTAATCTCTATCAGTCGATAGGGATTAATGCACTGCAAAACATTTCATTTCAAAGACAGCTGAGGGCAAGAGGAAGAAGACTTTTTAAATTTCGTACCTGTTCTTCTTAATCAGCACCTCATTCTCCTTTTCCTTGGCTCTGAGTTTCTTTATTGTGTTATTGATTTGAAGCTCTTGTTTAGACAACTTTTCACCTGGATAAAATGATCAGTCAATGTGAGGGCATGTCATTCAGTTTAAGTACTGAGAATTATTGGGTTCATCAACTACCTGGCGCAAGAAAAGTTTGATAGCTGCTTGGCTGTGGGACAGCTTGAGTTAATGTTTTATTTTTAACTGAAATAAACTAAAATTTTGAAACTGAAGGGTATCTTTTAGCTGCACTAGCTGTAAATTTGAAAAATAAATTTGCAAAACCAGTTTTATGCGATTGTTAGACAAGGGTAAACATGCATTTTTGGCAGTCTTTATAATACAACTATTTTAAAATTAATCATTACCTTCCTCTAATAATTGAGCAATTTGATCATCCTTTTCCTTGAGGAGAGTTGTGAACTCTTCAGCTTGCCGATCATTTCTATGGAAGACAATTCAACACTCAGTTCACGTTGCTTTAGAAAGAGTCTTACACATATACACCCATGAATTGGCAAACACAAGAAATGAAAAAAATAACATACAAATATTTATTACAATGAGCAAAATATAAAACGTGGATAAAAATGAACCAGCAATGACAAAAAGGCCGAAGTACATGTACATCTATTTAGGACTTCGTGTGCCTGTACGGATCAATACATTAGCTTCCCTGTGTAACGGAGTGGACAATGAATACACCATCCAGGGGTCTTTAAAGCCTTTTCTTGAAGGGGCTTATTATAATCTGCTTCACAGCCGTCCTTTGTATTGTCACGGCTTATTGTTGAGCGGAGCTTATTAGAGAGGCAGGACGTACTGTATTCTATAACTGGAGTACACGAACACCCTTGGCAGTTCACTAACATTAACATTGTAGCTTCAATTCCTTAGCTAAGCAGTATCATAATAGGGCACACATTCCGTGTTTTTACAATTTCAACAGTCACATAATTATCTAATACACTGAATCTTTTAGGTTCATGCAATGAGTATGGGTAATCACTGAATACAGTGTTTTTCTTTCCAAAGAGTTAAGTTATTTTTAATTAGTTATTACACCTGTATTTAGAAGAAGACAGTTCAAATCATTGCCATTGAGTAGGGTTTGGGGAGGATTCATTTCAGAGTAGAGGCTTAATAATTTATGAATGTTTAAAATCAGAGAGTGGTTAATGAGGACGGAGCCTTAAAAAAAGAGAGAGGGCTTGTAATGGAGATTATCAGAGATATCTGGTCATCTTTGTATATTACAGAGGAAACTCGATTTATCTAATCTCCTAATGACGAAGTCCTCGGTATAACGAGCGATTTTCTTCAGCCCGGCCAAAATTAAAATAAAACGTATGGAATAGAACCTCGATTTCACGAAATCCTCGTTATAGCAAACACAATGCAGAAATGCAAACATAAAATACATGTATACCTCGATATAACGAATAAATGTCAACATGTGACCGAAAGATAGCTAAAGATGAATGCGAAACAGAACAGCGAGGATAAAGGCTATGTTAGCCTGCGTAGCAAGCGTTTCCGTTTGGTGTACTGTAGTTTTAAACAGTTTTGTTTGCCTGTTCTTGTGTTTCTGGTGCTGTAGCTATGTAAAGCTCTGAACTGAGATAACAGTTTTGTATACAAAATAATGTTATTATAGAAATTGTTCAGACCCGGAAATGCTGGGCATTGGAAATTAATCATTAACTAATATACCTCAATATAAAGATAATTTTGCTTGTTTTCCCAAAAGTTCGTTAAATCAAAGTTTTGATATAACGAACCCTCGATATAATGAAAAAATTTCCCTAGTCCCTTGGCACTTAATTCAATTGAGGTTCCACTGTAGCTTGATATAATTAACTATTTCTATGATCAGGGTGTGCTGGTAATTATGCAAAATTAATGAGAAAGTCGTCATTACATAAATCCTAACTGGTTTTCCTTCTGTTCAGATTGCCATTCTGAGTATTTTTGACTTAATTTAACTGATCATCCTTTCTACAGCTGTACACTACTTTTGGCTATGTATACGCTAGTATGTTATAATTAGCACCGGCAATTATTATTCTTGAATCATCTCTACTAACCTTGAACTCAGAGATTTTTCTGTTTGTTCCAAAAGTGCCTTTAACTGATCTCTCTCCTAAGATGGACATACAAGTATACATAACCTTTATTAATATTTTGACTTGAATTTCAGAGTAGCTAAACTATACTTAGCTGAGATCTTTGAGATGCATCAAACAATGACAATTTACAGCATGCAAAGAAAGTCGTGTCCGATAGCCCAGGGCTAGTGGATTTTGCTATCGGGCTAGTGGTTTTTGTTCTTAACTTTACCGATGGGCAAGTGCTGTTTTTTGGGAAATTCAAATTACAGAAGGATTGTAATCAATCTTGCTAATCAAAAGGGTTTTGGGGCTAGTTGAAATGACTTGTGGGCTAGTACATACTAGCTACAGCTTGCCCGAATGGCAGGCTGTAAAACTGGCTTTTTCTTTGCAACCTGATTTAGCAGCTTGTTCCAAAACGAAACATTCAAATGAACCACAAATAAGAAGAAGACACACACAAAATCATTGCTGTTGCAACATAATCACTGTTGTTGCAGCTCACAAGTCAAGACTATTTACAAACACTGTGTTGTGCACTGGACAGCCTTAAGCTGGTAGAAAATCACACAATTCTTGGATGTTCGCATTTGCCTCTAGTACCACCTTTTAACTGTTTACTTAATAATACATAAAAAAAATAGGACACAAAAATTTCTCTTTGACCTGCAATACATGTATAATTATTGTCATGAAAATACTATACAAACCTTAGCTGCAGCATGAAACTTCTTTTCTGTCGCTGCTACTCGAACAGTAAATTCTTTCCTGACTTCTTCAATTTCCTCATCTTCTGTCTTTAATGCATCCTCAGCTTGTTTAAGTTGACTATAAAATTTAAGGCAAGTCAGTACCTTCTGAAGGATGGATATATTATATACAATAATTCATGTCATGATTGTAGTCCAAAGAAAAAAACTGAGTCCTGAATGAGTTTGGAAATCAGGGACGGGCATTATTTCCCCTGATTCCTACACTGTACTTACAGGATAAGGCTTGATTTCCAGCCACTATTTACACTGTAGCAAATGAGCCTGTGCTTCTCCCGATCTCTTCCCAGGGCAGACTTGAGAGAGTGGCCAAAATCAAGCCAATACTTAAGTTGTAACGGTACTCACAGGGCTTCTAAACTTTGTCAACAAACAATAAAAAAATGGCCGATTTTGTGGGAATTTTCAGGGCAGTTTGGCTAGAAATCGATGATTTTTGCGCTGATAAGACCAGTGTTTTTAATGTTTCCTTAACAGAGATCAATCGTTCGTTCTTTCAACAACAATATATACTCCAGAAATGAACCAGAGGCAAAGCTTTCAACATCATGGCTAGTACTCAGTTGTTTGCAACATAATCTTCACCTGGTAGTTTTTGGACATTGTTTGCTCATTTCAGTAATAAATTTGCACATTAAATTTTACAGCAAGTAAACAGCCCCAATAGCTGAGATAAGTTTCAAATAATTATGTTCTACAGACATGTATTTGATAAGATTTCTACCGAATTTTGTGGTATTTTGAGTGTTTTGGGAATTTTACGGATTTACCTGAATTTCATGGCTCTGCGACCGTGCAAAATAAATTATCAGAAGCCCTGTATTGTGGTGTTTTATTTCTTTCTTGCTACACAAACACTAGTTTTTGGATGTTCTACATGTATTAAAAGTTAAAACAAATTTAACAGCATAATATTATAATTTTTTGATAAGTGATGTAAACAATAATCAAAATAACCTTCCAAAAAAAATAATAAAATCAACAATAATTATATTATTCTCAGTTGATGCTAAAATGTTACTACAATGTAAAAGTACTCTAGAGTGAGGACGTCATTAACATTGCGCAAAGAAGTACATCAACACCCTCAAATAAGCCAGTCAGCATAAATAATTTCCCACAGAGCATGACCTTCACTTCAGAAGAACAGCCTACAGCAGTGATTAAATAGTTACCTCTTAAGTCCAATGTGTCCAAATAACTGACTGTAATGGTTGGTACAAACCTTCTAAGGATAGTTGCTGTTTCCTGTAGATCAACATTCTCTTTACTTAGCTGAACAAGTTTACTCTCACGTACTTCAACAACATGTGTCAGGTTATCAAGTTCCTGCAAAAATTAATTTAAAAAATCAGTTTCTGATTATGATGTGTTATTTGCTATAATAACAGACCATGTATTTTAAAAATACAATTTTTAAGCAATTGTACATCAAGTATGTTGGTTAATCAAATAATAATTATTGCAACAGTCCAGGTCAAATTAAGTTATGTGTTTACTTGCATTTTGCAAATGCTCTATCTTCTGCTTCAAGTCTTCTGAGCTCTCTGTAGAGTTTTCATGATCAATTTTTACGGCCTTGTTCTTAGTTTCTTCTTTGTTTTCTTTGATTACAACATTCTCTGAGGAAATGAGACAGCAAACAAATAACAATTAACCACTTTGGTGAATTTTAAAATTACAACAGTCATTTGTCTGTTTTTAAACAGAATTGCTGCAAGAAGATTATACTGTCCTTTAATGTAGCAGTTTTACAAAACGATTACTTGTAGGTAATGGTTCAGATGAGAAGGAAAGCAATAACGGTGATGAACATGCAGGTCAGGATGCAAAAAGTTGCTAATTTTACTTTTGTCTGTATACTTCTGTCGGTTTAAACAGCAAAATTTAGGAAAACTTTACATATATAACTTTGTATACTTATTAATCCTAAATTTTTCATAACAAAATCTTATCTGAGGCTAAATAGTACAGAAATCTTATGTGAAGAACATGTGAATTGGTAAAATTACTTTGGCATTTTCCTGCAATCTTAATGATTGGTCAAAATCTTTTAACACAAAGAAACCTCTTTTCAAAAATACAATTTAAATACATTTTATTTCGTAAACTGCCTTTTTGAGGCAGTTCTTTTTATGCGTTTTCTGTGTGGAATTTACCGCCGCCTGGTTAGCTCAGTTGGGAGGTCACTGGTTCAAACCCCAGCCAGACCAGCAATCAGGGTCTTTAAATAACTGAGAAGAAAGTGCTGCCTTTGCAATCTGTAAATGGCTACACTTTCTAGTCTTCTCACATGAAGACAAAAAATTGTACAGGTCCATCTCACAGCACTTTGGATTCACTTATCTAGTTTTTGTGGGACGTAAAACAACCCAAACTGCTGTTTGAAAAGAGTAGGGGACGTAGACCCCGGTGGTGTGACCAACCTTTCCTTGGCTGGGTGGGTTATCTGTAAGGAGGAAATAATCTTAATATAGGGAGGATAACCTCCTTCAGGTGTCATTATGATAATGGCTAAACAGTGTATTTATGTATGTATACATGCATGTACTATGTATGTATCATGATGTCTAATGACATTGGATGAGGATTCAAGTACATGTATTGCCACATAACAAAAACAATACTTAATACTTAACCCAGATCATGACTTATATTAAAAGAGAGGTGATGCCACAAAAATTTGAAGCTCTTACTAATATTATGGGATTGGTTAGGATATTCAAAAAAAAGACGCAAGATGTCCACTTGCCAAAAATAAGAAAGTTAGGGAAAATTGCCAGTGAGATACAGCTACTGTATACACATTGTCATGGACTGATAACTCCATCACAATTCTTCTAAATCTGACCTGGATAAAGATACGATCCAAGCCAATTTAAAAAAAGGATTTGTATAAACATTTAAAACATGAGCCTCTGCATTGAGAGGCAGGGTAACCACTTCCTGTGTATTTGACACTAAATTTACTAATCTAACTTATACTATCATAGTCATCAGATTCTAACAGTTACAGTGCTAATCTCTCACCACCAATTTTTACTAGCAAATTGATTAAATTTGGCGACTGGGTATTTTTTCATTTTGTTCTTTCTGATTATTCAACCCAATCCCATATTATTTCATAAATATTAAGTTTTTTATGTCACCACTTCTTCAAACTATTTCAGTAGGTATCATGCCAATTACTCACCACTGGATTGTTGCAAAAGCAATCTGTCTTCAGCAGTATTTTTCATTCCCTCACAAGGTACTTCTTCACTTTGAAACCTATCGTCAGATTGCTCATTTTTTACATCTTCTGAAACTAGTTCATTTTCTTGTAATCCACTTAATGGAAGTTCGGAGTCATTCTCCTTGATTACTGACAAATTCTCACTGTATTCACCAAATTTTAAAGGTAGCTCTTCATCAGTAGGGTTCACTTCTTTGCCAGACATCACAGATAATCCCTTTAAAAAGTGATTTGGTGTAGAACTGGCAAGGGGTTCAACCTCCACAAATTTCTCTTTCTCTGCTATTTCACTTGGAACTTCCTGTATGGCTGTATCTGCACCAACAATATTGTCTGTTGAATCTGTACAAGTGTCATCATGATCTACTGTACTTCCTGAATTCATGCTGTTTATCATACTGGGTGATTCAACCTCCTCAGCATCTTGTGATTTTATAGTAACGACTGAGTGTTCCACTCCTTTCGCTTTCATTTCAGTCCTATGTAATTCCTCACTTAAAAGTTTTTCTGCTGTATCTACAGTACTCTTTGTGACTAAGTTTTGACCTTCACTTTGTCTCCCTCCTGAAAATACTGGTTCTTCACAAGCAGTTTTAAGATTTCTCTCCTTAAGTCCTCTGCTGCTTGTGTTAGCAGAGTTGTTCAACAAAACCGTGTTGTCATCCCCCAGTGAATCTTTAACTAGCTTATCACTATTACTGTCAAAGCTCTTTTCATCAGAGACAATTAAATCCTTTGACTCTATTGCATTACCACTTTCAACAGTCTTGACAGTAGATTCCTGTACATGATGCTTAACATTTTCTTCTCTGCCATCCTCAACTACAGGTACCTTAGTTTTCTTTTCACTTTTTTCATGCAATGCATTAGAAACACTTTCTGTTTCATCTGCCTTTTTATTAGATTTTGATGCTGATAAATGTGTATTAGATTTGAATGTGTTGATTACGCTATCCTCACTCTTTCCATCTTGTTTAAATGTTCTTGAAGATGAGAGATTTTCTTTCTCATTTGAAGAGTTATCACTAGGTGTTGCAGTCTCATTTCCATCAACACTTCTTCTTGTTGCCCTGCTCACCCTAGAGCCAAGTTTTCTTCCTGCAGCAGACCTTCGACTTGAAGTTTTAGACTCACTTTTCACGGGAGCTGAGTCCCCAAGAAATGAAGACCAGAATGAATTACCTTCACTGTCATTTCCCTTTGCATTATTCTCATCAGATGATGCTTTTCTGGTGGACTTTGAAGTTGAAGTTGCAGATAACAATGATGAGGATTTTTTGGTAGTTAAAGATTCCTTTACAGAGCTCCCACTGGAGGATGATAACTTATCTTTGCTTGGAGCTATGTAGCATAAACAAGAAACCATTATCAATGTAATAATATAATATAATTAAAATAACATTAAATAGTTATGAAAACTCAATATAACAAAGGGCCAAGGGAGTGGGAAAATGTGTTTGCTAAAGACTGTACAAAGGTTTTGTAATATTGAGTTCTTTTCCATAAACATGTGAACACATCAGGGGCGGATCCAGGATTTTTCTTAGGAGGGGGTGCACCACTAACTGACCGATGACGTAAAAAATTTTAAAAGCGAATATGAAGAAGAGGGCTTTTGACTAGGAAATAACATAGTGTGAACTGCTGAGAATACATATCAAACGATAGAGCAGATTTTGTATGTCTGTCAAGCGACTGCACAGTGTTAATTAGAAAGCGGCCGCAGGTCATCCCAGGGGGGGTGCGCACCCCCTGCACCCTCCCCCTGGATCTGCCCCTGTACATTAAATACCAATTACTGAGGAGAAAAATTTGTTAGCTACCCCAAGGCTTTCATCATAGAATGATTTTTTAGATAATGGTTTCATTGTTTTTCATCAAAATATAACAAGCTGACTAATGTTTTTTTTAATTCCATGACATAAATGTATAAGCGCTCAATAGAAGAGAGAATTTTTTGCGATCATGAGTAAACAATATAATCAAGTATTGTGTGCTTTGAACTTCAAACTGATACAAATATGACATGCCAGAACTAGCCTTTGGTTACATACAGTAAGTAGAAATTTAATTTTTAAAAAAAGGCAGAAAAAATTAAAACAACAACCTAAAGTGAACTGTCATAATCTGTTTATTTGAGTCAAATCTATCTGTTGGTACAGATACAATGCACTCGTTTGCCTAAGGCGCAAAACGTTTAACAGATGTCCCAGTTTAATCGGTGGAAAATTTGTTTCTGGTGCTATCAATAATCACATCATTAGGTAATACTGTAGAAAAATATTAAAGCTGTAGTTTAGGAAGTGTCTCGATACCCGGCAGCCAGAAACTGTTTTCAAAAACTTAGATACCCTTCAATCAGAAATTTTGACCAATTTTCTGGAATAGCTTGTTTAATAAGAACATAAGATATTTGTTTAAGAATCTCAAGCGATTGTAAAGATTGCCTTGGGTTAAAAATAGAAGTGGCGATCGAGCTTGGGTATAGAGTGAAATTTCAATGTTTTCGACACTTAGAAAATATTCTACTTTGAACCCAAGGCAATACTTACAATCGCTTGAGATTTCTAAACGAATATCGTGTGTTTTTAGAGGAATTAAACGAGCTATTTAGAGAAAATTAGTCAAAATTTCTGACTGCCGGGTATCTAGTTTTTTTGAAAACAGTTCCCAGCTGCCGGGTTTCTAGACGCTTTCGGTATTACAATTAGAAATTTAGTCCAACAGACAAATCCAGAATAACGATTTTCATAAAAATATAGGAGATGAACACAATTTAGAACCATAAAAATGGTGACGAGTTTACCTGAAGAGTTAGATGCAGAACTAGCATCATCTTCAATATCTAACACTCTGTCGATGGACTTTTGGAGATTTTGTGCTTGAGTCAAAGCTGTCTTAGCGAACGAAGAAAAGCTCGAAGTATCAAACCAACTCATCTGTGAATTTTTGTACTCGTTAAAATTTGTTCTTTGCCTTCATTTTGAGATGAAAGTTATTTCCAAGGGAACAAAGATCGGATAGGAAAAATTCCATCCACGTATAAATCCTCTGGTCGCCATATTGTTTATCCTGGCATCATTTCCCGGCCAGGAGACTGGTACTGAATGTGTGGCATTGTGGGAAAAACATGGTGGACCCTCCAGTTCAGGTTGCATTTTGCAAAGAAAGTTCGACAGTTTTTGTAATTTATGGCTTCCAGTGGGTGCCGAAACTTCTTGAAAATTTCCATCTTCCAGGTAGGTTTACAGGTAACGGGTCGCTTTGCCCGAAAGTCGATTCGCCCGACGGCAGTACGCTCGGCTTAAGTAGATTCGCCTAGATGCCACCCCCTCTTCCACGGCAGCACTTGGTTTACTTGTAGCCAAGTACGACTCCAGTTGAGAATACTCGAAGTTTTTCTCTCAAGTAGCTTGCGTCACTGACTGAAAAAGACATCTTTAATTCTCAAAAAGTGCAATATTCAGAAATGACATCTTGTAATGAGATCTGCAAACGGTTAGACTTTCTACTCTTTTTTGCTTGCAACGATATAACGACAAGGGATTTCTGCTTACAACGCAGGGCTGTCAACCCCCCACGTCATCAAATATTGAGAATTGATAGGGAAGGAATTATAGATGACATCATATCACACGACAAATGACTTCATTTTGTGCCAAAAAATGTTCGTTGATCTCGATCGACGTATAGCATTAACAGTTCGTATTTAGCCACGTTATTGTTGAGGAAATGTTCCATGTTAACAGTAGCTCAAACAATGCAAAATGTTTGAAATTTTATGGTCGGAAAGTCTACAATAGTCTACAAGAAATAGCGACTTTGGCGATTATCCGGGAGATATCAGACTCTAATCTGGAGACCGGGAGATACGGTGTAAAATCTGGAGTCTCCTGGATCATCTTGGAGAGTTGACAGCACTGCAATGATTATGTTAATTTATCTTTAATTTATCTATCATTATTGCTTAAATTACAATGGCATGCCAAAGTTTATGAGGAAACGTTCCATGTTAGCAGTAACCTGCGATCAGGTGTGCTTCTTCCTTTTTTTTGGAAGACAAGGGGAAAAGGATGCCTGATACAGTCATTTAGTTTACACATCATCTGCCCTTAGTCCAGAATCTGGACTTTTGTCTGATTGGTCGAAAAACAAAAGATCCTTTCCTTCAGAGTTCTGTACCGATTGGTCAAGCAACATATCTTACTTCGGGTGCTATTAGATACGTTTTGTCACCTTTGTCTCTTCATGACAGAAACCATGAGATCATTAAGGGATTCTTTTAATAGCATGTTTAGGTTTTGAAGCTAGGTCTAAAAAGGAAAAAATCAATACTTTTTGATGAATCAAGTCAACAATGAGCCTTGACAGCTAAGATGAGGACGAGTTGTTATTTGTCACTAGGTAATGATATCCACTATTTTTCCTATTTCTTCTTCAATGCTTTCTTGCTCGTACTATGCAGAATTGCTGTCTTTGATTTCTGATAGGTTTAATTGATGCGTAAAAGTGTCTAAAAAGAAAAAATTTTTTGAGGATTTTAAACCTGTACTTTTGCGAACTGATGAAAGACCAGATTTGTTACCACAGAATCAATTTTTATAATTTTGACCGCTTCCAGTAAAATACAGAATTCTGATGCTCCACTATTGTTTTCAATGAATTATCAATTTGTTTGACTTGACAGCTTGAACAAAGGTATCACACAGTAGCAACAAGGCAAGATTCGCAATAACAGCAGTGCAAACTTGGTCTTTAAAATCTGTGATGTTTTCGTTAACGACTACTATATCAACTTAACATTCACTGCTTGCCTGGAAAATAAACATTTCGATAATAGCCACTTTCGTTGCAAACTGCTTGAATTTCTGGTAAAATCGGACATGATAAAACAATTGTTGACAGATACGTTAATTAGGGGGCGGCAGACAACTTGTGAAGTAAACGTATCAGGGGTTCTTTTTTTTCCCCTTTCCCTGAAAATTGCAGGTTATGTTAACAGAAAAATAGCTCAAACAACGCAAAATATTTAAAATTTTATGGTAGGAAAGTCAAGCTTACAAGAAATGGCAAACTTCGGCAATTGTCAGGGAGATTTCAGACTCTAATTTGGAGACTGGGAGATCCATATGGTCAAAATGTGGAGTCTCCCAGATTATCTGGGAGAGTTGACAGCACTGCACTTCTGGTTCAAGTTATATTCCCCACCTCACCACAGGCATCCCAAGTTCAAGTTATTAGAGTGGAATGTACTTTACTTTTTCACAAGAGAGTCGGTGTCGCATTACAGGCGACCAATGAGACGTTGTATGAGAAATAAAATAGTTGTTTTTTTGGCTGTTATCGTGTGACCCCTGTATCTCCCCTCCTAAATTGATGAATTCACACCAAAAAACACAGGAATACATCAAAGGTAAGTCTCTTCTATAGAAGAAAAGGTAAAATATAATGATATTTAGTGTTTGCAGACCCCAGTATTTTATTTCTCATACAACGTCTCAGCGTTCACCTGTAACGTGACACTGACTCTCTTGTGAGAAAGTAAATTACATTCCACTCTCGTGATGTGAGCTTGGGACTCATGTGACCTCACCAAGGCAAAAGTGAAATTCCCCACCCCAAGGAAAGCCTTACATGTCAAATTCCCCACTCCCCAGGGACAATCAATGCTCAAACACCTAGGGTTTGTCCAGGTGGTGGTTGTTGAAAATTTGAATTGATCGGTGCATAAAGATACAAACTATATACCCACTCTCAAAACCCTGGTACATCATGATGAACTAATTCTGTGGTTCCTTAAAAAACCCCTCACACATTCCGGAAAGAGTAGGGTGTAGTGGTCTCCCTTACTAGAGGAAATTAATGCTTCATGAAATGAAGGACCCCATGCCACATTAATAAAGTGCCCTGGAAATTAGCACAACTTGAATTAACATGATTTAATGAAAAATGACTTTCAATTAAAGGAAATTAACACAAAAGGGAGGGTAACATTTCAAAATGTAGGAAATTAACACAATGTTCACAATGAATCAAAAATTTTTGAGACAACAGAGCTTGATGGAAACTTTGTTTTTGCTTCTTTCCCTAAACCCACCAAAGGGGCTACAGCTGTAAGGGTAGAAATCTGGCCACTGTGAGGGTTCTTTACAGTTTCAATGGTACTGGCGGATCTCCGCCCTGATAAAATACTCCCCTTCCATAGGTGTCAAGAATGTCAAATTTTGTATCAAGAATTTGGGGCCAAAATAACGGAAACTAAGGTCGCAGAAATTAATGCACCACTTAATCAAAGGTGCAGAAATTGAAGTTACAAAAATTAACTCGACTTGTATTTTTGAAATTTATGTTAATTTCATGAAGTATTTATTTTCTATAACAAGGTATCTCAACTGATTTACACTCATGTGATAGGGGGCGTCATTACTCATTCCCTTGTTTCTTGTAAATTGAAATAAATGCAGTCTGGGAAAAGTCCCCCAACCAGTATATTAAATTATCCCTGAAAAGCCCTGGGAGGAGTGGATAATTAGATATTTACAATTTACAGTGATTGCTGTACTTACTATGTTTCTGATGTATGCCACAAAATGAGAAGTCTAAAGTCAAACTTGAATAAATTGAAATTTGAAAGAATTTGCTTTCAAAAAAAACAGTGGGCAAAGAAAGCAGTGTCTGATAGCCCGGGACCAGTGGATTTTGTTATAGGGCTGGTGAATTCTGCTCTTAACTTGCTCACAAGTAAGTTAATGAAGTTTTTTGAGGAATTAAAATTACCGTACATAAAAACTGTGTATATCAATCCTGTTCATCCAAAAGTATTTGGTGTTAGTTGAAATGAATTTTGGGCTTAGTAGTACATGCTAGCTACAGTTTGCACCAATGGCAAGCTGTAAAACTGGCTTTCTTTGCACTCTGAAAAAGCAAAGAAAGCAATGAAGCAAGTGCAGTTCACAACAATTATGAGCTGAGCAACGAATTTACTAACTCTTGGCATCTTGCTAAGGTAACAAAATTGAGACAACCCTGTGGCAGTTCATAAGTAAACATTTTTAAATATAGTCCATAACTTTCTGACAACATTGTTTATGGTATACCAGTTTTTAACTTAAGGTGGTTAAGGTTTACAGTAGAATGTTATTATGATTATTTTTGTTCTTGGGTAGATATCCACGGTAACCTTAGGGGTCATGTTGGCAGGGGGTAATAGCCATAATTTACTATATGACTAAATATACGTAATATTAATATTAATTTGTTTTTCTTTTTTTATTTGCAGAGCTTTGGTCGTATTTCTCTCATCAGAGGAGGTCAAAGCCTTTCTCGATGTGTAGGATGTTTTCCAGCAATTGGCTTAGCGCCATCTCTCACAGACATTTTTGGAGTGAGATATGCATATCAACCCAAATCTAAACAGCAAAAGAAAAGTGATTTGGTACCAAGTCACAGAATTGGTGTCACAAAAAGTTGGGACTCACAACACACAGGTGCGTAAAATTATCTAAAAGGTGCCACTCAACTAAACAAGTGCATAAATGGGATGTTACAGATCTTTCAAACAATGCCCGAATGAACACGGTTCAGCTAAGAGATCAAAGAAAAATACAAAAAACCATGAAAAATTGATCTGAAAATTCCCATAAAAATCTGGTTCTTTACCCAACTAAGGGCGCTTTCCATTTGTCAGAACTGGCCGGCCGGACAAGTCAATTAGCAAATGAAATGGGCTTTCTCCAAAGGGTTTTGCTGAAAAACCATCTCCTTCATGCATACTATTTAGGATTTGACTGATCTGGTTGGATAGTTTTGATTGAAAGTGAAATTCTCATTACGACGGGAATGGTCTGGCCCGTCAGTTCTGGCAAATGGAAAGCGCCCTAAGTTTCCTTCCATTTAATCCTGTGATGGTAACAGCTTTACCCCAAATCTTTCCCAATGAGTAGCCTGTGCACAGACACCCCCTCCCCTAAAAAAACCACAGTCTACCAATGAAATGAAGCCTGTTAAATGCCTAGCAAAAGAAAAAAAACAGGGCGAGAAAAAAGAAAGAAGAGGGGAGGAGAAAAAATGAATGGTAAATATTGACAACTTCTGCTGCGTAAAACTTGAAATTTTTCTTTCTGTACATGCCCCAACTTCAAAATCTGGTATTTTGCATCTGAACAGGATTTTTCATGAAATGTTTGACCTATACACGGCATTTTGGGCAGTTTGTTTGAGTTTCCGTCTTTTTTCCTTACGATTGTAGCATATAATTTCCCATCTTTCCTTTGTAACGTGGTGGTAGTTTAATCAAGCCTTCGTAGCAGGCTCTTGGAAGCAATGGGCGCAAGAAAGAACGGGACAAGCGAGGGAAACACGCGAGGAGTGAAGGAGCTCCCTCTCCCCTCGCGTGTATCTCTCTCCCGCCGCGTTCTTTTCTGTGCCGTTACTTCCAAGCGCCTGCTACGCAGGCTAAGTTTAATCTTACTTTTCTGTCCACAAAATTTATTATTCATTTATTATTTCTGGAAAAAAGTCACGCATTATATAAAGTTATTTTTGTTTTGCTTTCGCAGGAAGCCTAAAAGGAAGCTACTGGGCGTCTGAACGACTACTAGATGACATAATGATTCGCAAATTTGTGGAAGGTGTTCTGCATGACTTTTTGAAATCTGAAGTTGTTATCAAACGCAAAGCTAACCGTATCAACCTGGTCTTCATCGTGTCCAAGGAAGGAGATCTCACAAAGTTTTATTTCCTCGTTGGATTTACTGAGAAGCTGCTATCTGAACTGCTAGGTTGCGTGGTGAAAATTGAACCACAATCTGCCTTTTAGCAAAAACAAGAAGCAAATGAGGAAAGTAAAAACGAAAAAACTGTTAAAAAGTTAAGATATATTAGAGACCGAGCGAGAACCAACCGTAGCAAAAGAAAAGGAATAGTGGTCGTTTCGCCTTAAAGTCTATTCGCCAGAAGTTGTTTCGCCCATACGTAAGTCGATTCGCCCGAAGACAATTAATACTCTACAACACGGCTTGTTGGAGATGTTATTCAGTCAAGCTTGGATTCTATTGATCTCTATTGCTGTGATTGCCAAAAAAGTTCGAGCGAGCGGTCTTGGCAATCTCGGTAAACACATTTCAGATACTGAAAGACTGTACGTTTAAACAGAAGTCTACATGTACATGTACCTCAGCGATCGCTACGTCGATCTTTGACATATATCTTGTGCGAAGTTTTCACTGAAAAAAGTTGTCGCTGCACATACGCAGTCATTGTCTTTTCACCCTTATTTTTTATTTTTTTTTTTTTTTCAGGCGTAAAGAACGACAAATAAACATCGGGTGAATCGACTTACGTTCGGGCGGGATGACCTAGACCCTGTCACCAAGAAAAACCAACCTTATAGGGACAGCCAGCGACGCTTCCTGTTGGCCCACCCTGACTTTTGCTGGGATAATTTAATTTGGGGAGCGCGTGAGAGAAATAGAAGGATTACTTATTCGCGTAAAAAAGAAAAAACACGTCAAGAGCAGACAAACTCCATGGGAGAATCTCTTCGCTTCGGATCAGCAAAACATTAGCAACATGGATGAAGTAAATACAATGGAGTTTCTATAAACCCAATACCCCTGTAATGTGTGAAACTAATTTCTCGAAGTTTGCTTCTCAAAGAAACAACTACCAACATATATTTGGCTGAGTTACGACGGATACCTGTTAATGTACCATTCATTGCAGCGTTCTCTTATGCTGATAAGAGGGTGCTAATGGGGGCACCCGATTCCCAGTTAACTACTAATTTTTCGGCCAAATCATATCAGTTAACTACTATTTTTGGGGCCAATTCTCAGTTAACTACTAAACGTGGTTCACTTTCCGACAGCGATGTTATTCCGTCATAACCCGAATTTTCTTTGCTTCAGCACGTCAATCACTTTTGAGGGTAGGCCCTACTAAAATTACAAGGAGGGAGGAGTGGGGGGAGTGGGGAGGGATTAGCATAAGATTCTGGTAAACAGCTTACCTACCCCTCCCCTAACCTAAGGTTAAAACTAACTTCTCGCTTAATGCAAAATGTTGGGTTAGGAGAGTCTGTAATCACGTATCGCCAGAAAGCGAGGGGCAGGGCGGGGGGGGGGGGTTAGTTGGGAAAGAGCCGAAGAAGACGTAAAAAAGAAAATTAGAAATCTATCAGCCAGTAAACCTAGTGTATGCTTCAATTTGGTATCCCCTATAGAAAAAGCTTTTGACGGGATGACTATAAACTCACTTCGCCGTGTTACATGATTCGTGATCTACTCCATGCGCTTGTCACGCAGGTGATCACGCATACACGAGATTTTTTCATGGCCTTAAGCCAATACATCATTCTCCTACTTGAAAAAGAAATTCGATCTCAACACAAAGACGTGAACAAAAGCAAAGCCTGTTACTGAAAGCCGTAAAACCAACGACGATACGGATCACTTATCGACGCTAAGCGGCATTGGGTTTATGATTCCGCCTTGTTGAAATCACAGTCAAAAGGTATGGATCTATATACTGTATGCTCCGGGGATATGTAACGGCAAACAGATTTGACTGCGAGAGGTCGTCGTTATCTCCAGAAAGCTCTAATAAGTTAATGATTTTTGCAAATGGGTAGACGCTCGTCACCAACGGGATCACGGAAAATGTATTCAGGCTCTCACACTTTGGAATTAGGAAAAACAGGAAGAAAGACACTCGTCGTAGTCTGTGGCTACTTGTATTTAAAAAGAAAGAACTCTTCATTCCGTTTGTTCCATTCCATTTGCACATCTCCCATAAGACACTTTGTTTGACCCCCAAATTTTGCATACCCTTTGTTTTTCATTTTTCTGGGTATTACACTCGTCCCAAGAGAAATTGAAGGCAATGCTTTTGCAAAAGTTTGGGGGGTAAACAAGGTTTATTATGGGAGATGTGCAAATGGCGAATCCTCGAAAACAATGCCTCAAAGTCGGATGAAAGAACCAGAGCCACGGTTATTTGGAGAATATCGAAGGAGCATAAACCTGGGGGGGGGGGGGGGGGGAGGGGGCCATCTGGGGAAAGAGTTTTTGTTTCGCCCCCGCACGGGTCCCCAAACTTTTTTACCCCCGGGTACCAAAAAAAAAAAAAAAAAAATATAAAAGGGGGGGTGTTTAATTTTTTTTTCTTATTTTACAAGGGGGTCACGAAGAAGACGAATATACTATTTTTTGTTTAAAAATGGCTGAAGAGGTACGGCGTAGATATGGAGGGGGGAAAGAGGGGGGTGGTAGGGTGGTGGGGGGGGGGGGGGGGGAAGGAGTCACTTCAGGGAATCAGTTTAGTTTAGCCACACGTCTAGGTTCCCAAATCTTTTAACTCCCAGGACTGACAAAAAAAATGACAACATATGTAAACGGAGTGGTTTAAATTTTATTACCTTATCTTAACCTGGGCGTTCATGAAGTACGCAATTTTAATTGTTTGTTAAAAAGTACAGGTTTATTGATCCTTACAGTGACGTAGATTTGGTGTTTTAAGGTAGCCTCTCAAAGGACAGACCCCTGTCTATTTAAGGACTGAGCACCCTGAAACTTCCGAGTTCCAACTTTTGCGTTTACGCATTGTCTCAATCTTGTGCTCCTGGGTCAGTGTACCAATCATCAAGTGTAACTCTTTATCTGCACTGCTGTAGTCGATAACGCAATTCAGCTGGGGCAGATTTTTCGCCGGCCAGAGCGGGTGTAGCTGCAACAATTCAAATGAAGCTATAATATTAGCCTTTATGCCTTTTTGGTCTGTGGGGTCTTTACTCTTATACAAGCATGATAGCATAAAAGTGAAAAAATGGGAACTTTTATCTGTCTTTTCTCACTAAACACAGCCAATTTCCTGTTTGGTTCATACTGCGATGTCAGTGTTTTATTTAAGGATGCCTAACTTGGTTGGAGAAAACTCAAAAAAGGGATGTGAATGAAATCAAGGAAATAAAAGAAAAACCGTTCTCTGTTGGATTTGTGTGTTTATTGCCACAAATCAAAAACGATTTTTCGAGAAAGACTGCTCTGCACAATTTTGACATTCTGAACATGTCAGTCAGAAAGGATCAAAAGGATCAAAATTCCGGAAATGTGAGAGATATTTATCGAACTTCCCGTGCATGTTGATGTTTCTTTTCTTCACAACTTGTTACTTATGTTATATGAGGATTTTTTGTTTTAAGCCTTCTAAAATGAGGTCAAGTAAAAACATACCAATTTCGATATATTAAAATTCATACTTGGCTCTGAGGTTTAGCGAATAAAACAAAACAATTCAGCTTGAGGCTCAGTAATATAATAAACAATGCGTTACTCTTGTTTATTCCCCCAAGCCTTGGAGCCAAGTACGACTTTTAATTTATCGAAATTGGTCTATTAGTTTCATTTATATCAACTAATAGACAATCATTTTCAGCAAACACTTCGCAATTACACTCGTTTTTAGTATGTTCCACGCGTTCAGATGCATGTGTGGGGACGGCTCAATGAAAGAGATGTGGGCAGGAAAAACAGCGGGGATGTGCGAGGGCAAGGAATCCTCTTTCCCTCTTCCTCCGATTCCTCCCCAGTTAAAAAAAAATTGGTGAGGCCCTTTTTGCATATGGATAAGGCATAAAGTTTTTTGAAAGGAAAATTGATGTGCTTTTACCAGTTTTGAGGAATTCTGTAAATCCAGGAAAATTTAGACCATACAAAATATATTCCACGGTCCACTTTCTCCGGGCTAATTCTGTCGAGTCTGCATGATTAAAAGGAATTTGACTCTGAAACGGTTCGAATTCAAATCCTTTCTGCAACAACATTTAATCATTGTGTCATGTTTACAGATTATTGCACCAAACAGCAGGAATGTTACCACTGGCAGTTGTCATCCTTATTCCTTGGTTCGTCAATGGGGTGCCTGTGACCAAGGTTCCACAGAATACCCAACCGCCTCAGCCTAATCCCGAAATACTCACAGAAGTTGGCTGCACTGGCTTGGATGGCAAATGGTACCCAGCAGGGAGTGAGGTTAGCAGAGGATCAGATGGAAATGGGTGGTGTTATGGCACTTATTGTTCACATGATGGCAATTTGATAGCATGGGATGACTGGAATTGCAAAACAACTACTACAGGTCCTGTTTCCTCCAGCTCCATCCCTCCACCAACATCAACCTCCAACCCCACAACCTCTCCTACACCTTATTCCACCACAGTACCTCCTCCACTTGGGTGTTTTCAAAACGGTGCATGGTATGAACCAGGCAGCGAGATTAGCCGTGCATCTAATGGAGAGGGCTGGTGCCATGGAATATCTTGCGATGCCAAAGGAAAGATTGTGGCCTGGGATGACTGGAACTGCGAAGACACAGATGAAAACCCAGAATCCACCACCAAGGTTGATAAAGGATGTTACTACAAAAAAAAGTGGCATCCTCAAGGAAGCATCTTTGAAGGTTCTGACAGCAATGGCTGCAGATATGGAGTCATTTGTGGTGATGATGGCCAAGTTATGCGATGGGATGAATTTGACTGTCATCTCGTCAAGGAGGATTGAGAACCACAAACGTCTTCCACTTACAATTAGCCTTGCAATTTGATAAACAATCAAGCACTTTTACAAAAAGGTTATTACCATTTGCACTTTTACCTTAAACAAGACATACCGTGCAAGAGTAGCTTCCTTTTCATCAATAGTTTGCAGACTTAAACATAATACACAGAGAGTAAGGACATAGATTAAACCACTATGATTATCCTAATTTTGTCCTGGCTCTAATAAATCTGTTAAGCTGGGATGTTTTAACACACTGCTAGTA